ATAGTCCACCGTCTGCAGTGGAATCCAGTACAATAGAAATAGTAACAGGTGACTCCATTGATGTAGCGGTCATGAAAGCCAAACACTTTTATAATTTGATGTTAGTAAAAAATAGACAGAATCTGCCGTGCATTTATTTTTGGAACGCTTATTTTGATTTACCCAATGAGTTTAACTGGAAAACGTTGCTCCATTATAAATTTTACTTTATAAATGACAACAGAATTAAGCAGTTTAATTTTAAATATCTTCATAGAATATTGCCCAGTAAAGACAATTTATGTAAATGGAAGATTAAAAATAATAATCTATGTGATATATGTAAGATTCCAGACACAACTAACCACCTTCTCCTGGCTTGCAAGAAGGTTTCGCTTTTTTGGAAGATTGTATCCAAATTAATTGATACTTTGTTTAATTTTAAAATCCTTTTGAACGAAGAAATTCTTTTAATAGGTCATGAAATAGAGAGAAGAGAAATGAATCTTGTCAATCTTATTTTAAACTTCGCTCAGTTTATTATCTATAGGAACAATATTAGAGAATGTTTTGGAAGTGAAAAGCACAGGATACATGCTGTATATTGGATAAAAGAATTAAAGGTGGAAATTCGCACCTATCTCAATATGAAATGTAATCAAAAGAAATTCGATACAAACGAAGTTACAAAAGTTACAAAAATGTTTTCATTATTTTAGTTAGTGATTATGTCACATTAGTTTCATGTTCTGTACTATGTATGATATGTTACAATTGCATGAATTTTGTATTTAAACACTGTTGTAAATAGCTGTTATTTTATGATATGAACAAATAAAGTCCCTCGAAAGAGGATAAATAGAAAAAAAAATCAGGCAGGGGCGGCGATTTCTTGTCATGACCGGGGAGGATGAAATGCGAGGGACGAGGGAACAAAGTGAACAAGAGGGGCGAAGGTGATAAAAGGGACTACCCCCTCACAGGTTGTTGAAGTTTTGTTGTATTACAAAATGTCATTTCGTAGCAAAACTATAGTATAAAAAAAGCAATAAACTTTTGTCACACTTTGATTTTCTTTGCCGGTAATTAGAAGTCCGAAGGATTGTAAATATTCAGTAGATAAATTTTAGTAAGTAGGGAGCTTGGGCATGGATGTAATTCTATTTTCACTCTAGGCCTCTGTTATATACAAGTATACTGATATCGCTATGTGAGTTGAAATAGCAAATATATAGTAGTGGTAGGGAACTATTAAAACCAACCAATATTACGGGATACCTGTAACATGCAAGATGTCACTTTTGCACCCCCCCCCCTCCAAAGACGGACTGGTTTTTCATTTTCTATGCCGAATGAGTTATATTTTTTTAATGAAATCTGTATTTATCAAATAATCTGCAAAAGTATGTACCTATTTCATAACTCTTTTTTTTTTTTTTTATCTTGATAAGTTTTATTGGTCAGAAAACAAAATGATTTACAAAATATGCGTTACATTTCATAACTCTTCATCTGGTTTACCATACAGAGTAAACTGTGCTTACAGATTTTCTACAATATTTCTCAAGAACCAAAAGGCAGATCGGGGTGCTTTATTAGTATGTTGTTCTTGAGGTCAAACAAATTAGAGTGAAAATATTTGCGCCCGATCGGATAATGTTTAGCCAAGTTCCAAAATATGATTTTTGATAAAAATCAATTTTTTGGGAAAATTAGTAAACTGCATGTCCGATCTGGTTGAAAGTTCTCTGCATAGCTCCCATATGACCTGGACTACATGCATTAGACAACTTACAAAGTATTTAAGCACTTCCAAAAGTTCCCAGGCCTATTAACTCTAATCCTAACCTAGACATAAATAACCGTCTGGTATGGATCATTCTTTAATAAAAAAAAAAAACTAACATTTGCCAACATTCCCTATACACAGACGGTAACCCGTAGGCTCGCACAACGGGGGGGGGGGGGGGGGGGGGGGGGGGGGGGGGGGGGGGGGGGGGGGGGGGGGGGGGGGGGCTACAAAAAGTTTCTCCCCCGATTTTCTATATTTAGATCAAATTTCTGATGTATAAATCAGATAGAAAAAAAATATGTACATTTTCTCCTTTGTACAGTCATCAAAGTTTGTATTATCTATTTCCATATGCGAAATTTACGGACTAACTTTATACGAGTTATCCAATTTTATTTCAGAACCATTAAAATGTTACGTTCCTGCATTCGAACTGGTAATCCATGACATGACCCGGCCAATATATTTCCGGTTCAACTTACCAAAACTTAGCCAATCAGAGCACTTGTTTAATATTGGGTTTGTGAATATTCATATATTACTGGGTGAAGCCGGGCTGACTCGTACGTATAACGCATAGCTAGAGGTAGACGCTCGAGAAAAAAAATATTCATCAACTCAAACCAAGATTATAAAATATTTGAATGCACCTTGAATCAAGAGTAATAACCAATTATTGTCGATTGACAGGACTCGTTGAGTACTATTTTATATTTTCCTATTTAACCTTAATCAAAGCACTGCATTCAGCAATTTGTGTGTCGTTGGGCTTTGTTTTAGTTCAAACAATTAAGAAAGATAATTTGTCTATACTAGATAATACACATGTCATTACATTATTTTATCCTAAACATAAACAAACTAATAATGCCCATATTTGCTTTACTGATTTGCGGTCACACGCGCTCACAATGGAATAAGAATATTCATCCCTTTTTAATTAATGTTTGATAGAAGAGAAATTGATTGCGTGTTACTTCATTTTCTTTATGTTACAGTCCAATGAGACCTACAACAATTTTTCATTTAAAACATCTTTTATCATATGAACTTCTCTTATTCCCCGACCCTCCTCCTCTCCCTCTCTCTCTCTCTCTCTCTCTGAACTGTACTAACTGCAATACTAGGACCGCTACACTTCTTTCCTACTCGTTAGGTTCCATCCCACTACTATAACCTGCAACAGCTTTGCATCTTTACACCACTACACTACTGTACTACTTCTATCATAGGCACCGAAAGCGAGGGGCAGAACGCATTTTCTCTCCCCCCCCCCCCCCCCCCCCAAAAAAAAAAAAAAAAAAAAAAATCAGCAGTAAACAAGTAAAAATGGTTTGTATTTTTTAACCAAAAAGAAGACAAAAATAATAAACATGAATGGAATCACATAAAAGTTTTATTCCATTCAAAGAAAAGGAGAGTAAAAAGGATTTAAATTTCCTAAACATTCCGCATTCCCCTATATTTATCAATGATGAGGCTACCCTGGGTAAACAAGACATACTATTATTATTATTATTATTATTATTATGAAGGATTTTATAATGTCGATACGCGCATATCGTGGAAATATTGTGAGAGGATTAGAAAGCGTGTGTTTTTTTATTATAGGGGTGAGAAGACATGAGCCCCTGAACACTAGCATACTGCTGTGGGGGGGGCAGTTGCCCCCCCCCCCCCCCCAATAAAATTCAAACGTGGTTTATTTCTAATTCGATACCAGTGATTTGCAAATTTTGCTGAAATGACATGATTTTCCGGGTTTTTTTTTTTTTTAACTTGTTTTGTAAAATATTCAATTTTATGCGTTTGTTTGAAAATTACCAATCACAAAATTTAAAGTTAGGCAAAACATTTACTTTTTAGAAGCCTTCAAGTTATGGCCTGTAAAAAGGCGGGGCTTGGGGGTTCGGGGCTCGGGGCCCTCACTTTTTTTGAAAAAGTATGTTAAAGAGAAAATGAAAGAAAGAGAGAAAGAAATAAGGTATCAAAATGTGCTCATCTGACCGTAATTAAATGCCTAAAACCCCTGAGCTTCATGGGGCTCAGCCCCCTGGACCCCACGCCAATTATTGACCTGCCAGTGTCACAAATAAGGTATATAATATGCTTATCTGTACGCTATTGAATGTCTAAAACCCCTGAGCCCCTGGACCCCACGCCAATTTATGCTCCAATCGCTTCGCTTGCTACACTCTACCTGATCGTTAATACTCTACCTTGAAAAGGGTGAGCCCCTGGAATGTTTGCCCCCCCCCCCCATCCCAAACTGCTTCCGGCGCGCCTGACTACTACTACTACTACTGTAAACACAACCACGACTAATACCACTACTAATACCACTACTAATACCACCACTACTACTAGTACTAGTACTATCACCACCATCATTATCGTGAATGCCGCTGCCACGCTACTATATAAGATGACGATGACGACTATGATACAGTTATTACTACTATCATACGAGCTACTCCTTTTACCGGCCTACTCTTTTACTCTGACCCAGTATTACAGGGATATTTCTCTACTGTTTACTAAAACAAAGACATTGACATCTCTTTGATACACTACACTCCTTACCAGGCGCGTACGCAGGATTTTTTCAAGGGGGGGTTTTAACATTCATAAATCGGGCCGAAAATTTCGCAACGACTCAGCCGACCGCTGAATAAGCGGGGGGGGGGGGGGTAAGAGGACACATTTTTTTTTTTTTTGGTCCCCAAAAATCGCAACGACTCAGCCGACCGCTGAATAAGCGGGGGGGGGGGGGGGGGGGGGGGGGGGGGGGGGGTAAGAGGACACTTTTGTTGTTTTTTTTTTACCTCGAAATTTGAAAATTTGACATTTTGCTCCGTTGGGAGGGGGGTAAGGTCACCTGTTTTAGGTCATTCATGGGGATAATTTTTTTTTTTTTTTTTTTTTTTTTTTTTTTTTTTTTAAACAAAACAAAACAAAGGGGGGGGGGTTTCAGGTTTTTTTTAGGGGGGGTTTATACACATAAAAATACCAAAGGGGGGGTTTAACCCCCCAAACCCCCCCCCCCCCCCCCCCCCCCCCCCTGCGTACGCGCCTGCTCCTTACATTCTTATGAAAACGTGTGTATATTTCACATGCCATATTAAATACTAATCGCTGCGTGTTTAAGATAAAGAGATTAGTCAACAAACACAACCCGACAATAAGCTGCTGTTTTCCGCTAACCACTGATTCATGTAGTGTATTTTCTTTCCTTTTGGTTAGAAATTAGTCACCATTCATTCACAAGGGAACATAAATCACGATGTTAAAGAGAATGCTTCAGATTCCATGCCAAATTTAAAAGCAAGCAAGCAGATAAAGGGTCAGTACAAAGTTTAACGTTGTAGGAGAAACATGGCTCACCGCTCTATCCAACCGTGTTTGCTGTTGCTATCGTGTGTGTCTTTTATAATTGGTGTAAACGGGCTTAATTATTGCTTTCATTCTCTCAATGCTTTCGGAGCAATGTGGAAACGTACTATTTCAGGTAAGAATATTAAAACAGGTATCGCTTAAATAGGGAGAGGACATAAATCTCATAATATGGCCCGGATACTGCTTTTTCAAAATAACCATCTGTAGGAATGACACCTTAAGCAGCAGTGTGCCAAACATTTCAGATCGGATACCGGGTTATTCTAACAGACATTCTGTCAGGACAAGTCAACGAGAAATATGAACTATATTCTGGAAATTCGTGTCTTTGCAATATAGATGTACATTCAAGTGATCGAGTTACACGTGAATGGAATTCAGCCTTATAAACATGTAAATGTATATACACAATTCACCGTGATACAGGTAAATTTGTTCACATGTCAAAAACAACACTTTTTATGCCATTCAGTTATGGCGTATGATTTTCTTAACATTATTACCACAAAAGTGCTAAGAAACGGGAATATCAACGTTACAGATCATGCAATATTACAGTGATTGGGTGCTGTATTCATCTGCTATGCTGGCTCCTTTACCATCAACCAGATAGTATAAATCCTGATGCATTTCCATATGTAAGCAGTCAGGCACGTACGCAGGATTTTTGCAAGGGGGGGGGGGGGTTAACATTTGAAAATTACGCAGAAAATTCGCAATTTTTTTTGTTGTTGGCTTGTTCGTGTTGGTTAATACGCATAACCGGCCGGCCCATGTATTGTTATTATTACACCATGTTTGTTTTTTTTAAAGTGGAGCTGAATTGGTATAATCTTATTGGCTAATTTTGGCTAAAATTACCTTCATAGCAACGGAAGAAATCACATTTAGGTGCGATTGTTCGGTGTACGAGAGGGAGGGGTAGGGCATAGTACTAGTAGGGGTGACAGCTTTTCAAATAGCGGAACTCCCTAATGAAAACATTTTCAGAGAACAACAAAGAGATAGATAACACTGAATGAATGTTGAGCTTCCCAGTAGAAAGTAATAACTTGATCTCTTTTCGACAAAGAGGTATATGCTGTCCATGGCCTTTCAATGAGTGGTAACAATGGAATTATTATGAAACCTACTGTTACGGCACAAACAGATCTATATTGAGATCGTATATTGAGTACATTTCTTCTGATATGCTTTTTGTTTTACCTCTATACCTCTATTACCTAAATATGCCCATTATTATACATGGAATAACATGCAACATGCAATGGAAAAGAAATGCATGACTTCTATCGAGAGTTACTATAACTATTATAACATTAAATCACATTTAAGCATATTAAATGGAGGGAAAATCTATATTAACTTTATCTAGGTACTCTAGGGATAATATGTCTACTGCTTTCATTGGTGACGGTCCGCATTTCGACACTACGAATAGCTGATGGACATACGGTCATCACAGCTATACTCCACTACGTACTTATCAACTGCACCTTACTCAGAAATGAACTACGCATGCGTGATTATCATTCAGCGTGGAGAAATCCACGTGAAGCACAGGAGAAACTCCTGCAGGACATCATCCAAAAAAACGGTGACACAGTTTACGGGCGACAACACAAGCTGAAAGTAAGAACACTAATTATTTATTATCAACACTTTGCATCATTATTCAGAGACCGTGGATTTTGATCATTGAGTTTGGGTGGGGCATGATTCTTAAAGATTTCATACAGGTTGTATGGAGTTAGGGAGAGGACTTGGCTATTCTTCTATGTTATTTCAAAATAATAAACCAGTCAAAGTCCCCCATTTTGTTGATTAAAGATCAATTTTTTAAATAATGTAATGATTATTATAATCTAATTATCATTCCCTTCAAAATAAATGTTAAAAACAAAAAGGAGTGTTGTTTACCTTCTATATCCATAGGACGTTCATTTTCTAAATGATCTAAGGAAGACACATCCTCTGACTACATACGACCATTATCGCTCATACATCGACAGAATGGCAATTGGAGAGAAAGGTGTGTTAACTTCTGAGGCACCAATGCGCTTTGCTCTCACCTCCGGTACTACGGGCAAGGCTAAAATGTGGCCCTATCTCAAATCATATATATCAGATTCATACAAGATCATGTACGGTTTGGTCAGTGCTATCACGTTTAAGACCTTCAACGAGAGGAGTCTGTTGCAACAAGATATTTGGCTTTACACTGCTCCAAAAACAAGGTAAGAAAGCAATCGCTTCCATTACTCAAGAAAAATGAACATTTTGATATACTAACGCATTATGCATTATTCTACACTGCCAATACTACAATGTGTTTTGAAAGATGTGCATGTCTTTATAGTAACTGTAAACAAAGATTTGAATTCGATGGCAAACTTTGCAACTTTCCGGCATTGATCACACCCTTTCCCCCTTTTATTTCACTCACAAGATTCACCGAAGGAGGTATCTTAATGGGACTTGGGTTCTATTAACATGATCACACCCTTTCCCCCTTTTATTTCACTCACAAGATTCACCGAAGGAGGTATCTTAATGGGACTTGGGTTCTATTAACATGATCACACCCTTTCCCCCTTTTATTTCACTCACAAGATTCACCGAAGGAGGTATCTTAATGGGACTTGGGTTCTATCAACATGATCACACCCTTCCCCCCTTTTATTTCACTCACAAGATTCACCGAATGAGGTATCGTAATGGAACTTGGGTTATATTAACATGATCACACCCTTTTCCCCTTTTATTTCACTCACAAGATTCACCGAATGAGGTATCGTAATGGAACTTGGGTTCTATTAACATGATCACACCCTTTCCCCCTTTTATTTCACTCACAAGATTCACCGAATGAGGTATCGTAATGGAACTTGGGTTCTATTAACATGATCACACCCTTTCCCCCTTTTATTTCACTCACAAGATTCACCGAAGGAGGTATCTTAATGGAACTTGGGTTCTATTAACATGATCACACCCTTTCCCACTTTTATTTCACTCACAAGATTCACCTAATGAGGTATCTTAATGGGACTTGGGTTCTATCAACATGATCACACCCTTCCCCCCTTTTATTTCACTCACAAGATTCACCGAATGAGGTATCGTAATGGAACTTGGGTTCTATTAACATGATCACACCCTTTCCCCCTTTTATTTCACTCACAAGATTCACCGAAGGAGGTATCTTAATGGAACTTGGGTTCTATTAACATGATCACACCCTTTCCCCCTTTAATTTCACTCACAAGATTCACCTAATGAGGTATCTTAATGGGACTTGGGTTCTATTAACATGATCACACCCTTTCCCACTTTTATTTCACTCACAAGATTCACCTAATGAGGTATCTTAATGGGACTTGGGTTCTATTAACATGATCACACCCTTTCCCCCTTTTATTTCACTCACAAGATTCACCGAATGAGGTATCTTAATGGAACTTGGGTTCTATCAACATGATCACATCCTTTCCCCTCTTTCATTTCACTCACAAGATTCACCGAATGAGGTATCTTAATGGAACTTGGGTTCTATTAACATGATCACACCCTTTCCCACTTTTATTTCACTCACAAGATTCACCGAAGGAGGTATCTTAATGGGACTTGGGTTCTATTAACATGATCACACCCTTTCCCCCTTTAATTTCACTCACAAGATTTACCTAATGAGGTATCTTAATGGGTGTAACTTCCAAACAAACCAGAACTTGTGAAGAGCGCCACCTTGTGGCGAAGTTTAGACACTGTATATAAAATAGGGCTGACGATATGAACCCGGGAAACCGAATGGTCTTTCAACCTTCTTTTTCTGTCAAGAAAGTGCTCTATTTACTTGAATACTGGACATGAATCATGGGATAGGTCACTAGAGAACGCATTTGTTTGCATGGAGAATGTTTCGATGAGAAGAAAGCAGAATTAAAGTTTGTTTTAGACAGATTATAACCAGTTTTTCATCGATTGACCTGTCTTAGTTGAACTGTGTAGCTGTATTGAGTAAGTGCAACGCACCGTGACAATTTGCTAGTAGGCCTAATAGTATTTACACCTGAGATACACGTGAGAACTTATTACGAGGTGAATGACCTTTGCGACATGTGAGTGTTGTGGGAGCAAAGTAAAGAGGACAGAGCTGAGAAGCGTATGGAGCAAGTCAGATCACGGGTTCAAATATTAAGGCGCCAGTCAGACGCATGAGAGAACAAGAGAGATTTTACAAGATGGCAATATCTAAATTATGGCACTTACATTAGTTGAAAGACCAAGCTGTTTCACTGCTGATGAGGTCTAAGGTCTATGTGCGTGAAGTCACCTGAATTCTGAATAGAGAACGAAACCAAGTAATAGATGACATGGATCCATACTATGCACCCTCACAGTTGAATGGAGAAGATGTAAGGCAAGAGAGTTATCTTTTGCAAGATGAAGATCCTTTTATGCCCCAAGGCCAAGCATCAAGTTTGGAGAGTGAAGATCAGCATGTAGCACAATCAGGAAATAGGCCTAGAGTTAATAGACCTAACATGGCTGCCCCAAGGGAGAGTCCTGAGAGTATGAATGGAACAACAGACCATATATCTGCCGCTGCTGGAAATATGATAGACCCAATGATAATTTGTATGCAGCAGCAAAACCAACTTATGCAAATGTTGGTTCAGTGCAACATGAGAGCATCGTTGCCATCACCACAGGTAAAACCATTTTTGTGGTAACCCACTGGAATACAGGTCGTTTATTAAGTCCTTTGAGCATGCTGTAGAGTCCAAAACTGCAGATAACACGGATCGGCTGTATTACCTGGACCAATACACTAGAGGGGAAGCAAACTCCATTGTCAAGAGCTGTATGTATGGACCAAGTGAAGCAGGCTACCTAAAGGCAAAGGAGCTGCTAAGGAAAAAGTTTGGAGATAAACATAAGATAATGGAAGCTATGATGAATAAAGCTTCACAATGGCCTGAAATCAAGTCAGAAGATGGAGAGGAGCTTCACAAGTACTCCACATTCATAACTGAGTTGCATAACATGGCGATAGATTTGAACATGGAAATGGAAGTGAATCACACACAAAATGTAAAGATGGTCATAGGAAGGTTGCCTTTTAAGTTGAGAGATAAGTGGAGGTACAAAGCTGATGACATTGTAGAAGAACGGCAAAGGAGAATTACATTTGGTGATGTGCAGGCCTTCATTGCCAAACAGACCAGGATTATGACAAACCCAGCCTACGGGGACCTGAAATACACACAGTCACAGAGTCAGGGAAGAACACCTGGAAGGCTTGGAAAGTCTGCAGCTCCACATAAAGCCAGCCTTAACACGGCTATGAGACAAGACACAAAGACAAGTGGCAATGGTCAAGAGTTTGCACATACAGCCAGCAATGACACAACTATGAAAGTTGGAATAATGGAAGGAGGAAAAGAAATCTGCACTTTCTGTAATGATGAGAGCCACCAAATCGAGGAATGTAAGGTGTTATCATCACAGCCTTATGATGACAGGATAACCTTCTGTAAGAAAACTGGGCTATGTTTCAGCTGTCTAAAGAAGGCCAGGCATATTGCCAAAGATTGCAGAAGGAAATTAAAATGCAGCAAATGTAACAGACTGCATCCGACAGCATTACACAGAGACTGGAAGGGTAATTCTAACAGTAACAGTCAAGATAGCAACAATGCTGACAGGCAACATGTCAGACTGCAGCCCCAAGAGGCAGAAGCATCGTTCACCCCTTCAGTAGTGACACAGATAAACAATCATGAAAATGATGATGGAAATGTAGATGATGGCCAACAAGCAACGGCGAGGAATATCAAGTGCAGTTATATTGATTCCAGAGCTGAGTCAGCTGACGTACTACCTGGAATAGTCCCAGTGCTGATTCGTTCACAAGACACACAGGTCCAACTGAAGACATATGCATTGATTGATTCAGGAAGCAATGCAGTATTTTGCACGGATGAATTGGCAAGAGACCTGAAGGTTAAAGGGAAAAAGATGAACATTCACATGTCAACCATGACAGATGAGAAGGTGGTGTCAAGCCATATCATAAGTAATCTGGAAATTACTGATTTACATGGACAGAACAGCATAAACCTCCCTGAAGTATATGCTCGAGAGCAGATACCAGTGTCAGAAGATGACATACCAAGAGAAGGAGACCTCGTGAAATGGCCATACCTTCAAGACATCCAGCTACCGACCTCAGATGAAGATGTGCATGTTGGTCTGTTAATAGGAAGTAACATTCCAAGGGCCATGGAACCAGTCGAGGTCATAAATAGTGAAGTACCTAACGGCCCTTTCGCATGTAAGACAGCTCTTGGCTGGATAGTGTACGGAGCAACTAAGGATCAGGCCAAGCAACATACAATTCATTCTCACAGAGTAAAGGCCAAGACAAACATTGATCAACAACTCGAAAGTCTGTTCAATCAGGACTTTAATGAGCGAATTATCAACGACAAACAAGAGAAGTCGCAAGAGGACTTGTCCTTCATCAAGAAAGTTGAAAAGTCAATTAAGCAGCAAGATGATGGACATTTTGAAATTGGTTTGCCTATGAAAAGAGAGGAAGTTAAACTTCCTAACAATAGGAGTCAGGCAACGCAGAGGGCGGCTCACTTGAAGAAAAGGTTTGAGAGGCAGCCAGATTTCAGACAGGACTACACCGAATTTGTGACCAAGATGCAGAACAAAGGTTATATGGAGAGGGTGCCCGAACATGAAACCAAGAGGGATGATGGCCGTGTTTGGTATTTACCACACCATGGAGTCGTACACCCACAGAAGAAGAAACTTAGAGTCGTCTTTGACTGCTCGGCCGAATTTGGAGTGTTCTGTCTCAACCGAGAGCTGTTACAGGGGCCGGATCTAACTAACACACTGTTTGGAGTTTTGACAAGGTTTCGGCAAGACAAAGTGGCCTTGATGGCGGATATTGAAGGCATGTTTTCGCAAGTTCGAGTACCCAAAGACGACAGAGATCTCCTTCGCTTTCTTTGGTGGGAGAAAGGAGACATTGAGCAGCCCTTGACTGACCATAGAATGAAAGTACATGTATTCGGAGCAGTATCATCCCCATCATGCGCTAACTTTGCGCTGAAGAGAGCAGCTCAAGAACAAGCAGACAGTTTCTCAAATGAAGTCACAAGCACAATTCAGAAGAATTTCTACGTAGATGACTGTTTGTTCTCAACTCCCAGTGTACAACAGGCAGTTAAATTGGCAACAGATGTAACAGCTGCATGTGAAGGGAGAGGATTTCATCTTACCAAGTGGGTTTGTAACGAACCAGAGGTAATGAAGACGATTCCAGAAAAGGAAAAGGCAAAGAGTGTTCAAGATCTGAGCTTAGACAACAAGAATCAAGTCACAGAAAGGGCCCTTGGCATCATATGGTCCACAAGTGAAGATACATTTGGTGTCAAGATAGATCTGAAGGCCAAACCGCTGACAAGAAGGGGGATTTTATCCACAGTGAGTTCTGTGTTTGACCCTTTGGGCTGTGTATCACCAGTGGTGCTGCCAGCAAAACAGCTCCTACAGACATTGTGCAGATCTCAACTAGGATGGGATGCAGAAATTCCAAGTGAGCTGATGAGGAAATGGCTACAATGGAGGACTGAGTTACCAAAGCTCATGCAATTCAAGATGGATCGATGTCTGAAGCCAGACGGCTTCGCACCACAATCAGTCACCCTGCATCATTTCTCCGATGCGAGCGAAAAGGGCTATGGTGTTGTCTCATACCTCAGATGGGAAAATGAAGACGAGGTACAGATGAAATTCGTAACAAGTAAGGCAAGAGTGGCACCATTGAAAGAGGTATCCATTCCCAGAATGGAGTTGACAGCAGCGAATGTAGCAGTGAGGATAGACCACATGATCAAGCAGGAGCTAGATATTCCTATTGAGGAAACATACTTCTGGACAGATAGTCAGACTGTACTTGGATACATCAATAACAGTACTGCTAGATACAAGACTTTCGTGGCAAATAGACTAGCCGTGATTCGTGATGGATCAAAGCCTTCGCAGTGGCGATATGTTGAGTCTTCGCTCAATCCAGCAGACATATGTTCGAGGGGAATAACAGTGGACAAGTTTCTTGAACTTGAATATTGGAAGGATGGACCAGCTTTCCTTCGGCACCCAGAGAAGGAGTGGCTTGCAACGAGTGAAGTCCCTCATTGCAAATTGATAGATGAGTTGGAAGTAAAGAAATCCTGCCTTGCCACTGAAGTTACCCCAGAGAAAGAAGTGCCAAACCACACTCATGAAGTGATTCATCACTACTCAGACTGGATTAGGATGAAGAGAGCAGTGTGTTGGCTGAGAAGATTCATAAGATGGATCACATTGAAATCTGAGGCCAAAGATGTGTCCGAAGGTGACAGTTTGAAAGGACGGATTACACTCCAGGAAATGGACGCAGCTGAGATGGTGATCCTGAAGTTTGTGCAAAAGGAAAATTTTGCACAGGAAATCAAATGTCTGGAAAGCAAGGACCCCTCTGGGGTACAAAGAGGAAGACAGAAACCAGGAGTGAAGAAAACCAGTCCAATCTATAAGCTTGATCCAGTGCTTGATGAGGGACTGTTAAGAGTGGGAGGAAGACTCCAGAAGAGTTCCCTACCAGACAATGCAAAGCACCAAGTAATTCTCCCAAAGAAAGGGCATGTCTCAAAGTTGATCCTGGAGAATCTACATAAAATGTCAGGACATATGGGGAGGAATTACATGCTGTCCAGCCTTCATCAGAAATACTGGATGCCCAGTGCCAAGGCAGCTATCGGGAGAATGATCAGCAGCTGTATTTCTTGCAGACGCCATAGAGCTAAGATTATGCAACAGAAGATGGCAGATCTGCCAGCTGATCGAGTGAGACCTGATGAACCCCCCTTTACGAAGGTTGGAATTGATTACTTTGGACCATTGGTGGTGAAGAGAGGGCGATCAGAGGTAAAAACATATGGAGTGATGTTCACCTGCTTAGCTATCAGGGCAATACATATAGAGAAGGCCGAGAGTCTGAGCACTGACTCATGCATTGCTGCCATTAGGAGATTCATCGCCAGACGGGGAACAGTAAAAGAAATGAGGTCAGATAATGGCACAAACTTGATCGGAGCACAAAGAGAACTAAAACGTGAGATTGAGAACTGGAATCAGGCTCAGATCAGTGATGCTATGTTGCAGCGCAACATCCAGTGGACATTCAACCCTCCGGGTGGCTCCCATCACGGTGGCGTGTGGGAGCGTCAAATTCGTACTGTGAGGCAGGTGCTCTTCAACTTGGTTAGGCAACAAAGACTGGACGATGAAGGTTTACAGACCTTCCTGTGTGAAGCTGAAGGTATCATCAATGGGAGGCCTATAACCAAAGCCTCAAATGACCCTAACGACTTGGAAGCATTAACGCCAAACCATTTGCTTCTGATGAAGTCCCAACCAGCACTACCTCCGACAATAACTAGAGAAACTGATATCTATGTAAGAAGAAGATGGCGACAGGTCCAGTACATGTCGGATCTGTTCTGGCGCAGATGGACGAAGGAGTATCTACCCCAGTTACAGCAAAGGCAGAAGTGGGTGGAGCCACATCGCAATCTTCAGGTGGACGACTTGGTGCTCGTGGTAGATCAGACAATACCACGAAACTTTTGGTTGCTGGGCCGAGTTTCTCGAGTACTTCCTGATGCTGAGGGCTTGGTTCGAAGAGCAGAGGTGAAGACGAAATTGGGCGTCTACTTAAGGCCGATCAGCAAGCTGTGCTTCATATTGGAAGGGGACGCGTAAGCAGAACGAGTTATTTGACACCCACTGGATCAATGTGAAATCGTTTTTGGAAACCATTTGTTTTGTGAATATCGAGCTTGCGAAATTTGAAATAGAAAGAGAAACCGCCACAAGTTTTTTGTGAAATTAGAAATGGAGATCATTTACCTTTTCGCAATGGAGGAGCTTAATTGTTCGCCAAATCACCTTCACACCTTTGAAATTGATATTTGTTGATATTGGAGCCTACAAGTGAAATTTGATCTTTTTGTGAATTGCCTGTATCACCGCTCAGCTGAAATTGGATCAATGCAATTTGCCATTAATGAAAACAAATATGTTTTGATTTGCAAAACATAATTCGTGAAAAGGAAGCATTTCTACAACGTTTAAAGTTTATAAAATTGGTTTTAATACCACAAGGAATTACATTTGAAAAGCCAGTTGTGCCTGGATTTGGATATCATCACGTTTGTTTTGAAATTTGATGACCATCAAGAGCTCACTTTGATTCTTTCGCGAAGAGAGGAGCACGTTTATCGCGATAGGCTCAAGTTTACATGGAGAGACTGAAAGTATGTACTGTAATCCTGTGCATATGGAGCCATAACATTGAGGTCTGATAATATTAGCGAGCCAAGTGGACATGGACATAATTGTGCTACGCTTGTTTAACCAGAACTATGAAAAAACTCTAACAGAAGACTGAAAGAAACTCTGTTTAAGATGCATGAAAGTTATAATTGTTTTTTGGAAACAAATTTGTCTAAGTTTGGTGTACTGTACCAATCCCATCATTTGTTTTGATGTAAAGTTAAAGAGCAAAAGGAAATTCATACAAGTTATTTATATCATGCTACATTTCACAATAATTGATTAATGCTTGTAAGATTGATTTCTTGTTGTTGCTTGGAAACAGGTCTACTCGTTTTTCAAAATTTATGACTGACGTATTTTGGAATGAAGACATTTCTGAATTGCATTTTTGAGTATTTTGGGGGGCAAAATTTGGATAAAATGGCAGTCACTAAAGAAATTTTGGTATTCATGTATAACCACTAAAATATAGAGTATCAAACAGCTAATTGTCACACATACCAGTACAGTATTTCATTTCGCTTTGGTTTTTCAGTGTAATTTACATACACTGTACATGTATCTTTAATCAAGGAATTTCCAAGCAAGTTGACAGACATTTTTGAGGACTAAATGGAACATTTTTTTTTGTAATGATAATTTGTTCCTTTTAATACAACTTGTGCATGATTCTGATAAGTTGTAATATCTTTGAAATCAACAGACATATTTTGGAAACCATGACAATAAGTTTAGAAGGTTAGCAATGTTCTGTAAATCATGATTTGGGTTTCTTGATGTGTTGCCAACATGAGGATTGTAAGGGTTGTTTTTCTTTTTAAGATTCTGGGTATTAAATGCCATATGCTCACAGTAAAGGCAAATGCAGTGTGTATCTGAGTTTTGAATCAAAAGTTATATATTCAGACCACAAGACATTGCCAGTTGTCTTGAAAGTGTTAAGAGGTGTTGTTTTTAACGACTTTCATGTTGTTCAATGCAAAGTGCATGAATTTAATTAAGTTGAAATTACAAACATCAAGGTGTTTCATTATGCAAACGATAAAGACAATAATATTGCCATTGTGTTATGGTATTTTGCTATAAACATGAGTCAAAAATTATTATGTGCATTATTGTTTTTTGAAACAAATTTTTGTTTATTGATTGTTTTTTATACATGCCATTTATTCTTGGTAGATACGTTATAATGTTAGATGTAACATGACACACAGATAGTTAAGAAAATATTCTTGGTAGTTTTGATTATTTAGTACATGTATTGTTTCATTGAGCCTTGTATACATGTATGTCAGGTATGCCAAATAAAAAATAGCATCCGTGTTGTTACGAAGCGAGTATTGGCTTTCGGTTCATAGAAAAATTGCAGCTATGTTGTAAGTTGTTATTCGCTCTATTATGAGTGGTATAGATAGATTGTGAAGTTCCAATCATTTGGCAGGATGAACAATACGTGTATACCAAGGACAGTTGACACTTGACAGTTTTATCAGTTTAAAAGCGTTCTGTATTTGTTGTTGCGAAAAACCTATTTTAGGAAATCAGTATCACCGTCACAGTTTGTGACTTGCTTTATTGATTATCACTGTGCATTACATGAGTAATTAGGTTTTAGTTATACGCCGATAGGCTACAGTAATTTGTTGGTAGATTGATGAGTGAGCTAGAGATTTAGGATCATTTTATTGGCATTTGTGTTTGAGTACATTGGAAGCTCAGTGTAACAAGGTCTTTGGGGCCCTTAATTCCCAAGTTTTGACAGGAATGTTGTTTTTATTGGACTTCGTTCAACCGAGTTTCCGTTGTATGTTGATGTTTATTGATTAAGTGTTATAGAATGGTAATTTCCAAGTGATTTATATTGAAAATTAAGGGGCCGGAAATGTAACTTCCAAACAAACCAGAACTTGTGAAGAGCGCCACCTTGTGGCGAAGTTTAGACACTGTATATAAAATAGGGCTGACGATATGAACCCGGGAAACCGAATGGTCTTTCAACCTTCTTTTTCTGTCAAGAAAGTGCTCTATTTACTTGAATACTGGACATGAATCATGGGATAGGTCACTAGAGAACGCATTTGTTTGCATGGAGAATGTTTCGATGAGAAGAAAGCAGAATTAAAGTTTGTTTTAGACAGATTATAACCAGTTTTTCATCGATTGACCTGTCTTAGTTGAACTGTGTAGCTGTATTGAGTAAGTGCAACGCACCGTGACAATTTGCTAGTAGGCCTAATAGTATTTACACCTGAGATACACGTGAGAACTTATTACGAGGTGAATGACCTTTGCGACATGTGAGTGTTGTGGGAGCAAAGTAAAGAGGACAGAGCTGAGAAGCGTATGGAGCAAGTCAGATCACGGGTTCAAATATTAAGGCGCCAGTCAGACGCATGAGAGAACAAGAGAGATTTTACAAGATGGCAATATCTAAATTATGGCACTTACAATGGGACTTGGGTTCTATTAACATGATCACACCCTTTCCCACTTTTTTTTCACTCACAAGATTCACCTAATGAGGTATCTTAATGGAACTTGGGTTCTATCAACATGATCATATCCTTTCCCCTCTTTCATTTCACTCACAAGATTCACCGAAGGAGGTATCTTAATGGGACTTGGGTTCTATTAACATGATCACATCCTTCCCACTTTTATTTCACTCACAAGATTCACCGAAGGAGGTATCTTAATGGAACTTGGGTTCTATCAACATGATCACACCCTTTCCCCTCTTTCATTTCACTCACAAGATTCACCGAAGGAGGTATCTTAATGGAACTTGGGTTCTATTAACATGATCACACCCTTTCCCCTCTTTTATTTCACTCACAAGATTCACCGAAGGAGGTATCTTAATGGAACTTGGGTTCTATTAACATGATCACACCCTTTCCCCTCTTTTATTTCACTCACAAGATTCACCGAAGGAGGTATCTTAATGGGACCTGGATCTCTGATTGCTCCATGGATGAAGAAATTCTTAGTCATATTTTCGACTCCTGGAGAAGGTTTCTTCATAAGTCGTCCCTTCGAGGCCACATATATCCATCTTCTGTTTGGTCTCCGAGACCGCAACCTTGGGGGGATCATGGCCAACTTTACCTCCAATTTGATGTCTGCCATGCGACAGCTTGAGCACTGCTGGCAGGATATCGTCAGAGACATCGAACACGGCACCATCTCGTATCTCAACCTAGAGTCCGACGTCCAGAAAAAGTTTTCAAAATCGTTGGGGAGTGGAGACCCGGAGAGGGCCGCTGAGCTCAAAACAGAGTTCGAGAAGGGTTTCGATGGTATCATTCGACGGGTATGGCCACATATACATTACATCAATGCCGTAGATAGCGCAGGACTTAAAGGCGTACTACTCGATACATATGCCAAAGGTATGCCATGTCTAATCTTTAATAAGCACTACGGTAAATGGTCGAATAACAAATATTCTAAATATGAATTAGTGAGAGAAGCTGTCTTTATTATTGGGGAAAAGTTGATTATGAAGTACGCATGATAGTGTACTAAGAGATTTCTTAAAGAAAACAAAATCGTGCGCACACCCCACCTCATTCAGAGTGGTCTCGGGCTAGTCGAATTATTTTGTGACGTACGTCACAGACCACATCTATGTTTGAGTACATCTGATCATAGTATCAAGTTGATAGCACTATTGAAGCTTTTATCGTGAAACCAAGGTAATTTGATTTGTTTATTAATAGTGGAATACAAATCGTGATTGGCAGCCAATGGCGGAATCGTTAATAGAATATGCACAAATTAAAATACATATAGAACACAATATTGCAAATGGTCATACAAACAGCACGATTAAAACATAATAATCAGCGTACGAAGACCATCGTGGATTAAATGATTTAAGAAAAGAAATTTAAAGTCTTAAATTATAAAACATAATTCTATGGAGAGAAGTTTTTGTAGTTAGATCGGCCATATGGTAATCATTGCTAAACGAATTATTGAAGGCTACGTTAGCTTGTTTTCGGAATCAATAGGAATAGCCCAACATGAAGCCGGTTCACAACATCATTGGATTTTTTTTAAATAATTATTTATATAAAGCTAAGAGGCTTATTAGTATTTGACTACGGTCAATGTTTTTAAATGGCATGTGTATTCCAGGTCCGGTAGCAAGTCGCCGAGCATACTTTAAACAAGACAGGTCAGGTACCGAGTCGATGGGCATACTTTAAACAAGACAGGTCCGGTACCAAGTCGCTGGGCATACTTTAAACAAGACTGGTCAGGTGCAAAGTCGCTGGGCATACTTCAAACAAGACAGGTCAGGTACCGAGTCGCTGGGCATACTTTAAACAAGACAGGCCAGGTACCGAGTCGCTTGGCATACTTCAAACAAGACAGGTCCGGTACCAAGTCGCTGGGCATACTTTAAACAAGACATGTAAGGTACCAAGTCGCTGGGCATACTTTAAACAAGACTGGTCAGGTACCGAGTCGCCGGGCATACTTCAAACAAGACAGGTCAGGTACCAAGTCGCCGGCATACTTCAAACAAGTCTTGTTATCATTACCCTCTAGTAAAGCCTCTGTGACTGAGAAAGTGTTCTGATTTCTTGCAGGTGTCCGATGTACGCACCTGGTTTAGGGGCGACAGAAGGAATGATGGGTATCAACCTATGGATCACATCAGGCAAAGACGAGTTCGTCCTTTTACCGGGGTATACAGTCTTTGAGTTCATTCCAGAGGAGAATATGTAAGTCCTGTTTAGATGACTATATCGCTCTCTCTCAATCAACTCTCTCTGTATCCCCTTCCTACCCCCGCCGCTCCCCCCCCCCCCCCCTCTCTCTCTCTCCCTCTCTCTCTCAAGTTCATTCCAGAGGAGCGTCTGGTTAGATAACTATATATACAGCCCTCTCTTAATCACCTCTCGCTGTATCCCCCTCCAACCTCCCCCCCCCCCCCCCTCTCTCTCTCTCTCTCTCTCTCTCGAGTTCATTCCAGAGGAGAATATGTAAGTCCTGTTTAGATGACTATATCGCTCTCTCTCAATCAACTGTCTCTGTATCCCCCTCTCACCCCCGCCGCCCCCCCCCCTCTCTCTCTCTCTCTCCCTCTCTCTCTCGAGTTCATTCCAGAGGAGCATGTGTAAGTCTTGTTAGATAACTATATATACCGCCCTCTCTTAATCAACTCTCTCTGTAGAAAAGAAAAAAAAAAAAAAAAAGGATTAAATTGAACAACCCCAATCTGAAACAATTATTGATGTCTAACCCAATTTTTACTCGTGAATTATTGGGTTACATATACGATACTAATCGTTTTAGATAGCTTTTAAAGCTATTAGGGATCCCCTTAACTTATGTCGATCCTGTAATAATATATAAAATGAAGTATTTGCGGTTTTTCCAAGAACAATTGCAACTAACTCTCATCTCGCCTTTTATGTGCATTTTATGCAATTTTAATATTGCAGCCTTTTTTTTTTTTTTTTTTTTTTTTTTATAAAACCATATCACTATTAATTTCATTTCACCAAGGAAAGTCGCTCGTGGGCTTGATTTCCGAAGCCCACGCCAAAGCTATACACGAAATTGACTGGCGCAAATAATCTTTGAGATTGAAGAGTGCCATCTAAACGAAGAACCAACCAACCAACCTTCCTACCCCCGCCGCTCCCCCCCCCCCCCCCCCCTCTCTCTCTCTCTCTCTCCCCTCTCTCTCTCAAGTTCATTCCAGAGGAGCATGTGTAAGTCATGTTAGATAACTATATATACCGCCCTCTCTTAATCAACTCTCTCTGTATCCCCTCTCTGTATCCCTGATAACACACTATTGCGATCAACGGAGACGGTCGCTTTCTCTAAAAGCTCCTAATTGGCGTGTATTATATAGAATTTTGGCGGGAATTTCGAACCAGCCGCACCCCTCTGAACTCGACGGCAGCTGAGTCAATCCTGTACCGTGTCCAGCCCATCGGACTATACGAGCTTTCGCCGTAGCAATCTCGTTGTTGGATCACATCTTCACGTTTTAACTCGTTCGTCACTTTAGTCAAGGCAAAGGTCTAGGAGGTGACCCTAAGTGGCAATCCTGTGGTGATTTATTGCACTCATTTTCATCCCTCCATTCACGTACGATTAACAACTTAAATAACACAGCCTTGAAAGGTAAGAATTTTCACTTATCCTACTAATCTTAATTATGCGCGTTTGAAAATTGAATGGCGTCGATTTCTCTCTCCTCTTTATCTTCGGGGGAAGAGAATTATATGACGGCCGTTGCTGAGAAATACCGGGACGATGTACATGATTTAGGTGAAGGTATATCTTCTGACGGTACTACGGTCCCGGAAGATAGTGACATTGCAGATTGTTCATGGAAAACGGCAGTACGCAAAAAATCGAAAAAGAGGCCAAGGGTTAGAAGCAATAGTGATGGAGTGTTACATGAAAAGAATAACAAAATACCCAAATTCTCCCGCTCGACACCAACTCATTCTGAGGGTAAAGTAGTTATTGTTGGATTGGAGAATAAGAATGTGTGCAGAGCCAACCCCGTGAAGGTTGTAAAACAAATTCATGATCTTGTAGGCAGAGTAAAAGATATGGTAAAAGAAAGAAACATGTTGATTGTGAGATGTGAGAGCGAAAACCAAATACCCAAACTGTTGGAATTAACCCAGTTGGCGGGCATTAATGTGAAAGTTACACGATACGATGGGAGCCAATCAACCACTAAAGGAGTTAAGCCCCAGTCCCATATAAAGCCGGACCAGCACGGACGAGCACGGACCACTCCGGACCATCCCGGACCATGGTCTGGGGTGATCCGGGATGGTCCGGGATGTTTTGTTCAAAAAAGTGTGATGCTTTTAAGCTACAGTCCCATATACGTCCCGGACCGTCCCGGACCATCCCGGACCCCATCCGGGGTAATCCGGGATTCGGTCCGTGTTGACACCGTGTTGGCACCGGGGTGGTCCTGGATGGTCCTGGATGGTCCTGGATGGTCCTGGCCGGTCAATAACTCACTCCCGGACTGCCACGGATCAACACGGACCGCCCCGGCGCCACTACGGATGACCCCGGACCCAGCACGGTGGCTACACGGATCACCCCGGATCAAACTATTGTCCCGGACCGTCCCGGACCACCCCGGCAGTTTTTGACCGTCAAAAACATCCGGGGTCGACTCCCGGACCGCCCAGGACCATCCAGGACCATCCAGGACCATCCAGGACCACCCCGGTGCCAACACGGTGTCAACACGGACCGAATCCCGGATCACCCCGGATGGGGTCCGGGATGGTCCGGGACGGTCCGGGACGTATATGGGACTGTAGCTTAATTCACAAGATTGATCCCCAAATCAGTAACGAGGAAATAGAGGAAGTTTTGAAAGAACAGAATGTAGTGAACGCTAAAAGATTTATGAAGAAGATCAAAGGAGAAATGGTAGCAACCCCTTCCGTTCTCCTCACTTTCAAGGGTAAAAACTTACCCGAGTCCATACATTTTCTGTATGAGGTAAAGCAAGTGGATGACTATATCCCTCCTGTGCCGCGATGCCATAAATGTCAGTTATTCGGACACATTAGGCAAACTTGTAAAGGCAATATCCGATGTGTTAGATGCGGGGGAGAACATGAGTTCGAAGATTGCCCTAATAAGGAGAACCCTAAATGCCTCAGATGTGGTGAAAACCACTCTGCAGCTTACCAAGGTTGTAAATTTTATGCAGAGGCGAAGCAAATTCAAAAAATAAAATTACAGGAAAACCTCACTTATGCCCAAGCGGCCAAGGCCCATCGTGCACAGATACATGAAAATGCCGTTACTGACATGGATAATCAGAAAGACATGGGTAGTGCAAATCTAAACAAACCTGCCAAAAAACATAACACAGAATCAAGGCCAAATAACCCTCAGAGAGCCAATCCGAATCCTCAGAGAGCCAATCCGAACCCTCAGGCCCATACCCCACACACAGTACGAGAAAGAAAGGGACAGGAAGAAAGGGACAGGGCAATACCCAGATCTCATTCCCAGATCCCAATTCCAGTACGAAAAACAAAGAAGGAAACTGCAACCCAAACTCCAGTAAATATGACATCTATTGATTTGATTATGTTTATTCTGTTTGTGGTACGACAGTTGCCTCAGTCCAGTAATGATGATAATTTCTTGGAAGCGGTAGTTAGAGCAGGCAAAGAAATTTTGAAGGTAGACATTACCATGGAAATGGTAAAAAGTCGCCTCATATAACTAATAAGTCCATATCAGACCTATTGATTGTACAATGGAACGCACAAGGCTTGACGGCGCATGGCGCAAACTTTTTATCTTCCCTTATTGATAACAATTTGTTAGGTATTCACCCAGATATAATGTGCATCCAAGAAACTTGGTTTAACGATTTTAATGTTTTGTTTATACCCAATTACGTTTGTGTTTGTAAAAACAGGCCGGACGGCAGAAGAGGTGGTTTGGTGATGTATTTAAAAAACGACATCACTTTTCAGGCGATGGATACACCCAGGAACGCCGAATACCAAAAAGTTGATATTTTTTGTAAAAACGGAGTTATCTCAATCTTCAACTATTATAATCCGTGTAAAAAGATTGAACTGATAGATCTAAATAACATGATAAGAAATGTGCCGGGGAAGTATTTGATTCTAGGCGACTTTAATAGTCACAATCCTCTATGGGGGAGCAACAAATTAGACACAAACGGTAGAACTGTGGAGTCTTTTATAGAAAATAATGATTTGGTTTTATTAAATGATGGATCTCCTACAAGGTTAGACCCATATTATGGTACATACTCAAATCTGGATTTGTCCTTAGTATCGAAAGAATTAGCACGTAATACAGAATGGAAAGTACTATCCAATAATTTTGGCAGTGATCATAATCTGGTTTGCTTAAATTTTAAACATGTGTACAATAGACCAGGGGGTGAGAATATGGGACAGAGATGGTCTTTTAGAAAGGTTAATTGGGAAGAGTATAGAGAAGAAATTGAAGAGGCATTGAGAAAAGAAGGATATGAAAATCTTGGTGCAGAACTAAACATTCAAGGCAGATACAATGTGATTGTTAAGGTGATCAAGGAAACGTCGAACAAGTGCATTCCGCGTGTGCAGATTGCCAAGAGAAGAAAAGTAAATCCCTGGTGGAACAATGCCTGCAAGAAGGCGGTGCAAGAGAGAAATCGTCTTAAAAACAGGTTAAGAAGGTATTATGATCTAAATGATGTTAAGAAATACTTAAAGAAGAAAGCTGTCGCTCAGAAGGTAATCAGGAGAGCTCAATATGATTATTGGTTAGAGTACTGCCGTAGAATGAATAGATTTACAGACATTGGGAAAGTCTGGGAACAGGTTAAAAGAATGCGGGACAGTACAATGAACAAGCACATCTTTCACAATCTATTTGTAGACGGAAATATCTTGAAAGAATCTGAGGAAAAAGCTAATGCAATGGCAACCTATTTTAAATCGGTTGATGAATCACTTTCCGTAACTAAAAATGAAAACGAAAATATCTTGTACAATAATTCTTCAACAAATGATGATGATTGTATCAATGATGACTTTAACATGAGTGAAATGGGGAATGTTTTAAAGGAGATGAAAAACTCCTCATCCGGTAAGGATGATATTTATTTAATTATGATTAAGAATTTGCCGAACAAGGCACTCGTGTATTTATTAAACTTGTATAATGACATTTGGAAAATCTCACTTTTTCCACATCAGTGGTATGAGGTTATTCAAATACCAATCTTGAAATCCGGAAAAGATCCGACTCAAGTGACCTCTTATAGGCCGATTTCGTTGATATCAACATTCTCTAAAATTATGGAAAAAATGATAAAAAATCGCCTGACGTGGTTTCTAGAAAAAAACAGACTATTAAATCCTATTCAATCTGGCTTCCGCAAATATAGGAATGTCAAAGATCACTTAGTGAGATTGGAGACGGACATACATATATCCTTGAAAAGTAAAAAATATACCGTAGCGGTCTTTCTTGATTTAGAAAAAGCATATGATTCGCTATGGAAAACAGGTCTACTAAGAAAATTATCTATCTTAGGCATTGGTGGAAAAATGTTACTTTTTATAAAAGCATTTCTATTGAGTAGGATTTCTAATGTGAGGATAAATAACTATATGTCTCGCCACTACACGTTAGAAAATGGAATCCCGCAAGGAAGTTCATTAAGTCCTTTATTATTTACTTTAATGTTAAATGATCTCAAGATAAATGTAAGTGATGTTAAATTATCTTGCTATGCTGATGACATTGCAATCTGGTGTTCAAATAAGGATTTAGAGCTGGCCCGCAGGAAATTACAAGAGGCCCTGCATGAGCTTGAGATATGGTGTTGGACGTGGAAGTTAAACGTTTCCCCTACCAAATCTGCAGTATTAGTCTTTACCAACAAACAAAAGAAAGATATTCTTCTACAAATAAAAGGACATAATCTGCCTATATGCGAGCAGTATAAGTTCCTTGGTGTGAGGTTTGACTCCAATTTAACTTGGTCTGTCCATATAGATTCTATCATTGATAAATGTAAGAAAAGAATAAACTTGCTACGTTGTGTCTCCGGCACCCCCTGGGGAAGTAAGTATGAGATTTTGATGATGATTTATAAAGGACTTATCCTATCCATTTTGGACTATGGGAGTGAAATGTATGATTCTGCTTGTATATCTTTAACAAAAAAACTTGACTCTATCCAATACAGAGCCTTAAAAATTATTACAGGCACAATACACAATGTGTCCTTGGAGGCTTTACAAGTTTTGACCGGGGAGCTGCCTCTGAGATATCGTAGAAGGTTGTTAAATGATAACTTTCGAGTTTATTTACTGTCTAGTACTTTAAACCACCCAACAAAAGAAGTATTGGGTGATGACTATGATTTAAATAACTTAGAATGGAAGATAGGAGAAGGACCTTTTAAACTGCGATCCTTTAGAGACGAAGTAGTGGTGGAAGGGCAAACCAACTTATTGCCGAAAATCCCAGAATGGCGGTTAGCACGACCACAAGTGTCTTTCGAACACCATGGCAAAGTGCAAAAAAAGGAAATGCCTCCATTTGAAATAAAATCGATTGTTCTAGATAGCATTGGAAATTCATGGAATGGGTTTTTACATATATATACAGATGGTTCTAAACTCGAGGATGGGAAGACAGGAGCCGCATTTTATGTGTCTCATTATAATGTGGTGAAATTTTTTAGATTATCCCATGTCTGTATTATGAGAGCAGAACTAGTGGCCATACTAATGGCACTAGAGTGGATTAATACATTTATTGAATCCTCTTCGGTGGTAATTTTTAGCGACGCTTTGTCAGCTTTACAAATGATCGATTCATACTTTATTAGATGTGCTATTGTAAATGAAATTTTATCCATAATTAATATTTTGCAGTTTAAGGATGTTTGTGTTGCTTTTGAATGGATTCCGTCACATTGCGATATTAGGGGCAATGAGATCGTAGATCGGGCTGCCAAAAAAGGAGCCATGAAAAGGTGTATAGACATAGTTATACCAAATACAAGAAGTGAATTGGCAGCCTCTCGTTTGATCCATTATAACAAATTATGGCAAGCAGAATGGGACAATGCAGAACACGGTAGATTTTTATATGCTTTGCATAGCGACGTTTCAAAGCCCATACATAGACAAGGCCTATCTCGCAGAGAAGAATGCTTGATACAACAACTAAGAGTAGGTAACTGTAGTTTAAATTATTACCTTTTTCAAATTAACCAACACGATACTGGTCTTTGTGAAGTTTGTCAAGAAGATGAAACAATTAAACATTTTATTTTCTATTGTACAAAATACGACAAAGATAGACGTCTCTTAAAAGAAAGGATTAAATTGAACAACCCCAATCTGAAACAATTATTGATGTCTAACCCAATTTTTACTCGTGAATTATTGGGTTACATATACGATACTAATCGTTTTAGATAGCTTTTAAAGCTATCAGGGATCCCCTTAACTTATGTCGATCCTGTAATAATATATCAAATGAAGTATTTGCGGTTTTTCCATGAACAATTGCAACTAACTCCCATCTCGCCTTTTATGTGCATTTTATGCAATTTTAATATTGCAGCTTTTTTTTTTTTTTTTTTTTTTTTTAAACCATATCACTATTAATTTCATTTCACCAAGGAAAGTCGCTCGTGGGCTTGATTTCCGAAGCCCACGCCAAAGCTATACACGAAATTGACTGGCGCAAATAATCTTTGAGATTGAAGAGCGCCATCTAAACGAAGAACCAACCAACCAACCTTCCTACCCCCGCCGCTCCCCCCCCCCCCCCTCTCTCTCTCTCTCTCTCTCTCCCCCTCTCTCTCCCTCGAGTTCATTCCAGAGGAGCATGTGTAAGTCATGTTAGATAACTATATTATACCGCCCTCTCACAATCAACTCTCGCTGTATCCCCCTCCACCCCCTCGCTCTCTCTGTTTCCCTATGCCATGGATTACATCAAGCAAAATTTAGTTTGTCTTAATACCATGTATACATAATTAGTACTTTGAAAGATGAAACTATCGGGTCTTATCATGCCTTTGTATTACTATTATTTTTATTAATCCTGTTTTGTACCAGCGTGCAGAGCGGAACAAAAGCTTTATGACAAGGCAAGGAAAATGCAGTGATCGATATATTAATAGAAAATTAATAGAATTATGAACATTTTGTGTGGTTTGGGAACTTTGATCAAACCTTTTCAAATAGTTCTGAAATGAACAATTTCCCCGTCACACAGACAATGAATGATAACTGATTTTGTCAATTATCTGATAACGTATACGAATGACACTATTATATTTAGCCGGCTTTATGAAACTTACTGATAAGAAGGTAAGGGCCCGATGTATGGATACAATCATACACAGTCCATAACATTTAAAGCCCGTGAGTTGTACGCCATCGTTGACGTACCTTTGGCTACCTTTCATGATCACAAGGTTTAACTCACGATGAGATATCGACGATCCAGACCATTTCCATTTCCCCTTACTTCTTTGCGAGGCAGATTTGTTGCAACGACAACCAAGGGTATGGTCAACGGAGCGAAAGCCCGAACTCAGCATAATAAACTTCACGTTGGATTCACGACATTAATCATTTTGTCAGACGAAGGAAATATCAATTCAGTTCATTTGGAGATTAGGGTTATCATGAGAAATCATATTAGCTCCAGAATGGAAGATTTCAGTAACTAAAGCAAAGCCCAAAGCTTCGAAAAGGATAACGAACTTTTGCTATAGTTTATCGTTGGTCTTATCGCCAAACAAACTCAATTTTTAACAGCTCCCCCACCCCCCTCCCCGCCCCCCCCCTCCACCCACCACCACCGCCTTCTGCATACGGTCGGCCTCCCTAAATGAAAGCATACAATAACTAACCAGTCAATTACTCCTACATAGGAAATTGCTGAATTTACAAAATTCGTGGTAACCCTTACGATATCTAGATACCCCCCTCACACATTTCACCACCATCACCATCACCACCACCACCACCACCATCAGCAACAACATCAACAACAAAACCACCCTAGCAGACAGTTGATCTCCCTCTACGTACGTACCCATAACGAATACGCAGTTATAATTGCTATAATGTGTGGAAGCGTTGGTTCCCAGGGGACGGGAATCAAGTGAAGACTTCCTTGGATATAAGAAAAGACTTTGCCTCCTTTTGTTATTTTAATTATTTAAGGGAAGACGAAACTCCCGAGACGCTGTTCCTTGATGAACTGACAATCGATGGCGTGTATGAGATCGTCATCACTCAACTCTTCGGCTGCTATCGGTTTCGCTATGGTGACGTCATCAAGATAACTCGTTTCCACATGAATACCCCCGTGGCTGAGTTCATGTATAGGTATGACATCAAACAACACCCTTTTATTTATTTCCATATATTTTACCTTACTACATAAATGTAGAGAATATTAATACATAGATTGGTTTATATGATCGAATATCATATCTAGTTCATTGTGGAAATGGGTAACTAGAAGTTTCTAGAACATTTTATTCGAGAGGAAGTCGTCATAATATCGTCATGAGATTTAAAAAGAGTTCGCGACATCCCGGTCTTATGCAGGGTTCGGTTTTCTCGGCATTTAAAAAAAATGTTTCTTGGGTTCAATATTCCTAGGTCTGGTCAGATGTTAAATGTTGTATCAGAGAAAGTTGATCAGCGGACAGTGCAGGAAGCCATGTGTGCTGCTGTGGACCAGTGGCCTGATGTTCAGATACGGGATTATGCCGTAGCAGAAAGCACACTCTTAGCTGAGTTAGGTGAGGAGGGGGCACAAAATGTACTATATTCTAATGCTTTCTCAGCTAATATTATTTTGTAATGTCTTCTATGACCACATTATTCTGTTATTAGCCTACCCCCCCCCCCCTCATCCCCTCTACGATAACAAACTGCATAGGGTCGCACCGGCGTTACCCCCTCCCTTTTTTGAAGGACAATAAAGAACTAGAGTGGTACGTTTATCTAAGCCCCTCCCCCCCCCCCCCCTGCTATATAATATATACTCTGCGTCCCAGATTTTTTTTTTTTTTTTTTTTTTTTTTGTAATGCACAAATGGCTTTTGTTATCAAGCTCTGTTCTCTTTTACCAAAATTACTTTGTTCCATAAAGTAAAAGTACATAATTATCATGCTTTGTGATACTTTGATGCCTTCCATCCGAATATTACCGACTGGAGCCCAATCACTTTGAAAAGGACATTCTATCCCAGTTGGTGGTGTGCCAGATTTGTGTAAAGCTATGAAAAGTAAACGTTGATCCTCTGGGAAGATTCTTTTAACAGCGAGCTACGAATGCTAACGACCTTATCATTAATAAAAGGATATTACAATTATTGTCGATGGTGGGGTATATAAAAAATACACATTGGAAATGAAATTCATGCAACAGAAACAAACGGAAAATTTTGAATTGTCAGAATCTTTTTTTAAAGTACGGTATATTTATAAAATGTAATTAAAGGGCAGGTTCCATTAAAATGAAAATAGGAAAATCGTATGAAAGGCACACTAGGCAAAACAAATATCATAATATAACCAGTTTACAACTCAGAATGGGCACCTTTGCTATCACAAGAGAGGCACTTTTTATCACTCGATGGACGTTGTCGGTCTCCTCCCCGATTTAAATCCCCCACCCCAGTGAGTTTCTTTGTTAAGGTTCCTCGTAAATTTATTCTCTTTTGCAATAGTTTCCATTGTTTTTGTTATCTCTCTCTCTCTCCTTCTATCTTAGATAACCGTGATAAGACTGTGTGTCCGTATTACATCGTGTTCATCGAGTTGGACCAAGATCCAGACTCAGGTGACATAGATCAGGACCAGTACTGCCTGGTAAGCTTATTCAAAATCAAAGGTACCGCCCCCCCCCCCACCCTCAAAGAAGAAAACAAATTGACCTAAACAATAATTATACAATATAAACGGTGGCATGAATATCCAGAATTTAGCTTTTAAGAAAAATTAAGAAAATGTATGTCATCGAGTTCTCAGATAGACCTATCACGATCACTACTTTATCATTATCGTTTTTGTACCATGAAGATTCATTGACTTCTGACAAAGATTCATTTTTGATTTTTTTTAAATAAATATTTTGAAAAGGAATGTAAGAGTGTTAATCACTATCAGATATATATTTAAGCTAAGCAATGTGAGCAATTTGACCGATGTTCAACCAAAATTTAAAGTTTAACCCTACGCGAGGACTAAAAAATGAAGCTGCGTTTGGGCGCATTCTCTTGTCTTTTGGTTATGCGACGTTGGGTTTTACTGGAAGAAGAGCCCCCCCCCCCCCCCGCCCCAAAAGGGGGGGGGGGTACTCAGATTTGGTTTGGACGGGGGTGTGCCGCTCAAGCCTTGAAACTCTTACCCATTATAAGGGGTCCTTTTTCTCGAAAAAAGACCCAAATTTTTAAAATTTCCGGGTGTTTGCATGGCAAACACTCGAAAAACATTGAAAAAAACGGACCCATCGGTATTTTTGATAAAAAGTGGGACCCATGTTTAGGGATGTTAAAGTGACCCATTGTGACCCATCACCCGGTGACCCATGTCGTAATATGCGAGGGGGGGGGGGGGAGGGAGCAAGCGCTTCTGTGTTATTTCTTAAATCCATCAATAATTACACACGATATTATTCTACTCGTTGTGTTTGCTTTTTTCTCGTATAATTGAACCATGTATTAGTTTCACTTTTGCTCTCCTCTTGTAGATTGACAGTGAACTGCAGCGGTTGTCTTTCACCTACAAATCGTATCGTGAGAAAGGTTGCATAGCAACCCCCAGCGTTCACATTGTGAAACCCGGTACATTTAGCCTGTTACATGACTTCATCCTAACGAACACGACCACTACAGCCAACCAGTACAAAGTTCCAAGAAAACTACGTACACCACAGATGCTCAGGCTTATGCTTGATAACTCCGCCGTGAGATCAAATACATTCGGGAGGATGGCCGAGCTATAAAGATCGACTGAAAAGCACTTTATGTAGACCGCCTAGCGCTACCTTCACTTTAATAACACAAACATTAGTGTGTTTCAAATAATGCACCATACATTTTCTAGCAAAGGAAAGCAGGAGTATACTTGACACACTGTCTTACAACCTGTGTATTCTTTAAAGGTTTACAAGATTATTTTTATCCGAGGCAAATATTGTTCTTTACGCACATTATTTTCTTCATATTATTTCCATAATGAACGCGTTTTGTACGCCTAGAAGTTTTAATAAATAAATAAATTAATTAATTAATGTATTATAATTGAATATGTTACTCAAATTGATTTTTCATAAATATTTGCTATCTATATTAACTTTGCTCGTAATGAATTAATACTCTTATTTACATGTCTTTAGTTTAAGGTTTTTATATTTCGTTTTTGTAACTATTTAATTATACTTGTACATGCTTATTTTTTACTTTGTAAAGCGCATAGAAAAACTTATGTTTATTATGCGCTCAATAAATCTATCTTTTGTATTATTATTAATAAAGCGGAACGTCCAATGAGACCGACTGAACACGAAGCCAATGTTTGTCTGATGAACGATCAGACGGTTGTCAAAAAGACTTTCGTATGGGATGTCCCAAGAACCTCATGCCGGTCGGGTTTGTTGAAGCCTATTGTATATAGTATTTATTTATTTGGTGACATCATTTAGCTTTGTACATATATTTTGCTATATTTTCAGCAGGTATTCTGCACATTCCCTTTTTCTATGACGCGGAGGTCATACGAAACAGCTTTTTATGGTTTGAAAAGATAGATTGTTTTAGTTTTAGTGGTGATTATTTTACCTGACTTCTAAGAAAGCATAAATGCTTGTTAGTAAGCAACCATATACATGATGCCATCATTTATTTAGCTCAAAAAGCGATATCAGAAAGAAGTTTTTAAACATGCCAAATTGAAGACAGTCTAGTATTAAACAGAGTTAACATTTATTTGCAAGATCTGAATTGCAAGATCAAGGCAATTTTCCACCAGGATATTTCGTGTAAAATTTACCTTTATTTTCCACCTCAATTAACCAATTTACCCATGCAACTTTTAAACCAGTTAAAACAGAAAGATGTAACATTTTAACCCTCCTAGAATGTAATCCCTTTGGATTGTGTGACGGCTGATCTTATCTGATTTTAAATTGATTTCATTTACCCCCCCCCCCCCCCACTCAGTGTTATTTAGGGTACGCGTATGCATGTTCCCTCCTTTTGAAAACACCCCCTAAGTCAGGTGTTTAAAGTCAATACGGACCGATTTTGTGTGTTTTACGAGCCGGACTTTAATTGTTGCGTGAAAATTACCCCTTTACCGGACATTTTGGGAATATGAATGCGGTCCCTCCGTTCCCGGAGAGGGGGGGGGGGGGGGGCATTTACCAACAGCAATACAGTAATACATTTCATACAATGTGTTTACATATACATGAATAAAACTAGTGATTGGTAAAAGGGGCCAGATAATAGCACATTTGCTAGTCGAGCCTAACCCATTAACGGCTAAACAAAATATTTTGGCACAAATCAATTTAGAAAACGTAACAAAACAAAAATAATGGGGTTAATTTACTATTACACTCAATACTTTAAAAAATACGAATACTCTACAATGTCTTATAATATACAAACTGATAATGTAAAATATTACTTTTATACATTATGCAGACTATATATTTAACTTGGTATTTAATTCATGATTTGTCCGTTTTAAATATTTGAATGTATTTGAATTGAATGAGTATAGTTTTCTTATATTTATGTTTGTATGTCATAAATGTCTTATTCCTCCTAGTCTATCAAACAAATTTATTTTGAATTCTGAAATACATTCATATATAACTAGACAATCATCTCATTTTCATATAAAACTCATCAAAACTTCTGTCTCCAAAAATTCAATTTTCTTTAAAGGTCCAATTTTATGGAATGAGTTACCTCCTAATGTTAAAGCAAGCCCAACTCTGAATACAATTAAAAAGAGATACAAACAATTACGTTTTTGTGAATAGTATTTTATTAGTTTTTATATATATGCAATCAGGTGTTAGATGTTAGGTGTTAGTTGTTAGGTGTAAGGTGTTAAGTGTTATGGGTTAAAATTCTTTATTATGTCGCAAGGGACCAGCACAACACAAGACTTAATTGTTCTTTCTTGCTGGTTCCTCATTCGTATATAATATTTGTATTTTATGTTTATCTTTCGTTATGTTATTCGTATGTTTTTTATTCATCTGTAAATATCAATGTTATAATCATGTATGTTTTTATATGACGAATGAAATAAAATGAAAAGAAATGGAATGAAATACAACAAATGACTAGTAATAGAATTCCGGAACCAATTTCTAGACCTTGTTAATCTGACATTAATAGATAATCTATTTCAAAATTCACTGCCCGCAAAAGACAATGAATGAATGACGTAATTGTCCCCCTTCCTTTTGTTTTTTGGAATAGCTATGCTTAATAATGTCACAGTACTCTTTTGAATTATGATGCAAATTGTCATTGACTAGACCAAACATGAAAGTATATATTGATAAATCATGTTAATTATACACAATTAGGATTGGCAATCTGTTAGATAATGGAGCTGGCTTTCGAAAGCTTGAATAGTGATTTTTTTTTTCACAAAGAAATATTGGTAATATTTCACTTTTTATTTGAACACACAAGGGGGGAATCGAACATGATAAAATATAAAAGCCTTATTGTGTCAAGAAATGTGTTTATATTGTATAGTAGCAGTTTTGATTTGTGAAAAATAGTTTAAAATTAAATCCTAAAATCTGCAATTTGACACTTGTCTTTTCCGATTACTTCAGGCTCACGAAAATAAAAAGTGATTTTGTTCATGTAGTTCTTTATTATGATATTAGTGCCCACAAATGCCCAGTCGAGTAATTTTGATTAATATTTCAGGAAATTTTGCTTCATTTTCTTTCGCTTTCCTCCTGTGAGCTGTGTAAGTAAGCACTGTGTATACTGCTCGTATTATCAGACGAGAGGTAGCGAAAAGTAATTATCCTTACAAAAGCATATTTCCCTTTGAAATGTGGCCCGTTAATTTGCAGCTCGGCAGGAATCTTTTGTCTACGTATCTGCACGGAAGATCCAGTTAAGCACATGCCTGACATATTTTCTCATGGCGGCATCGAAGATGATGGAATGAGGTAGATATGACTCCAGCTCTTTATTAGATTGGGGGATTGGGCTATGTACTGCTATCAAAATGTGCTAGTGTTCTTTTTCTTCATGATCGTCAACAAGCAAATAGAGCTTCGTTTTTTTGTCTTCCTGTTTTTTTGATTTTTTTTTAGCCATAACTATCATACTGAATACAAAGTCAGTGTAAGGTTATAGGCGTAAGGCCTGCTAGTAGGACTGCCCTCTCCCTTTCCGTGTGTACTACAATGTATAATAAAAGTACAATTTTAACAAGCTGGTGAAATATACATCCTTCCCTAAATACTACTACTACTAATAATAATAATAATAGATTTATATAGCGCAGCTTTTATACAAAATATATTCAGCTGCGCTGGTTAAGAGCTCCTTTTTACTAAATTCTACAAAATAAGATCACTCAGTTGAACAAATAAGTTTTTAAATTGGATTTAAAAACATTGAGAGATGGAGTGCTTCTTATTTCTATTGGCAAGCTATTCCATAATTTGGGGGCGGCAATAGCAAAAGCACGGTCCCCAAGAGTTACTTTAGTTTTGCCATGGGGAATCTGAAACAGTAATTTATCTGTGGAACTGCGCAGGCTACGACTGTGTGATTGGACTTTGAGTTGAAGTAATTCTTTGATGTAATTAGGGGCTTGACCGCTCAATGATTTATAGACGATTAACAATATTTTGAATGAGATTCTTTGACGGACTGGCAACCAGTGGAGTTCTCTCAGAAGAGGTGCGGTTGAAGTGAATTTCGACCGACGATAGACAAGTCTTGCACATGCATTTTGTACTCTTTGTAACTTAGCTATCAGAGAATCAGGCATTCCAAACAGCAACCCGTTACAATAATCAAGCTTACTTGTGATAAGAGCGTGTACAACCAATTTCATACTTTCTTGATCAAAATATTTGCGGATACGTCTGAGATTGTACAGAAGATAGTATGTTGATTTGCATATATTTTTAACATGTGTTTCCATGGTTAAATTAGTATCAAAGTATACTCCTAAATTCCTTGCTGTAACAGAGGGTATCACATTGGAGGATCCAACTCTTACACCGTCAATGCTTATTTTTGAGATCTGATGTGGAGTTCCTATAACCAAAAATTCACTCTTACTATCGTTTAGCTTAAGATTATTGTTAAGCATCCATGATGCATCTATGAATAAAATTAACACATTTTTCAAACATTGAAACACTTGCATCTTGAGTACTAGTGAATGGTCTAAAGGATAAAAATAATTGTGTGTCGTCTGCATAACAGTGACAGGAGACTTCAGGAAAATTATCCTGAGTGCTCTTGATTAGATTACTCGTGTATAACATAAAAAGCAAAGGGCCGAGCCGAGAGCCCTGTGGCACACCAAAGGGCACCTGGAAAGAGTCAGAGACAATGCCATCAATTTTAACTTTTTGATGTCGATCAGACAAGTATGACTCGATCCAGCCGAGAGCAACACCGTCGATACCGCAGCATATCTTCAAAATATCTAGTAATCTGGAATGCTCAATAGTGTCAAAGGCACTACTCAAGTCAAGTAATAACAGGAGAGTGATTTTCTGTCTGTCCATTGCAATCAGAATATCACTCTTGATCCTGAGTAGTGCCGTTTCTGTACTATGAAACTGTCTATATGCAGACTGATTGGATGGAAGGAGTGAATTACTGTTAAGAAACTGTAAAATCTGTTGTGTGGCTGCACCTTCTACCAATTTAGAAATGTATTGTATGTTACTTATGGGTCTAAGATTACCAAATTCAACATCAAGCCCTGGTTTTTTCAACAATGGTGAAACAAGTGAGACTTTCCATTCTTTAGGAAAGTGGCCCGTAGACAAGGAGACATTGATCATGGATGTGAACACAGGTAGTATAACATCAAAATATTGCAAGAGAATCTTTGTTGGAATCGGATCAGCAGAACAAGACTTCTTGCTGAGCTTCATCACAAGTTTCCCTACTTCCTGTTTAGATAAAAGTTTAAACTTATCAAGCTTGATACCATCAGGTACTGGAATAAGACTTGATGAATCAGTATCAATTCTATCCATCGAACCTATGCTACACTGTTAAAAATTTCACTGTAGAAATTACAGTAAATTACTGGCAACTTTGTTGCACAGTAAATTACTGTAACTTTGACATTACAGTAACTTCCTGTAAGTTTTTCAACAGTAACTTGCTGTAAGACATTAAAATACTGTAAGCTTACTGTAAAGAAATTTTCATGTATAAGGTTACAGTATTTATTGTAAGTTCTTCTTACAGTTAATTAATGTAATTTTATTCACAGTAATTTAAATGTATTTACAGTTATGTACTGTAAGTTTTTCTCTACAGTAAATTAATGTTATTTCTCTCATTTACATTAAGTTAATGTAATAAGTACAGCTTTTCTACTGTGACTTTAGCAGTATCATCCTGTTAATTTTGTATCTATTTCTCTCATTTACATTAAGTTAATGTTATAAGTACAGCTTTTCTACTGTGACTTTAGCAGTATCATCCTGTTAATTTTGTATCTATTTCTCTCATTTACATTAAGTTAATGTAATAAGTACAGTATTCTACTGTGACATTAGCAGTATCATCCTGTTATTTTGTTATCTATTTCTCTCATTTACATTAAGTTAATGTATTAAGTACAGTATTCTACTGTGACATTAGCAGTATCATCCTGTTATTTTTTAAATCTATTTCTCTCATTTACATTAAGTTAATGTAATAAGTACAGTATTCTAACTTGACATTAGCAGCATCATCCTGTTAATTTGAGGAAAAAACAAGCTTTCTGAACACAAAAATCATTATTAAAGTCTTTATTGGGTAATCAACGCTCCATAAAACAAGTTTCTCAAATAGTGTAACATTATGAAAATGCTTGCAAAGAAACTATCAAGTAAAACATTAAAACAAGTAAAACCACTAAAAACTGCAAAAGTTCAAGTACTCAAGAATCTACAGACCCATAGTCATCCTTCCAGTATCTCAAAAATTCTTGAAAAAATTGTTTAGATTATACCAATTCTGAAATACACATAACTTGCTTAATCCCAACCAATATGGCTTTAAAAAAAATCATTCACCCGACCTAGCATTAATTTAATTATACGACAGAATAACACATGCAATTGTGCAGACATAGCGGCTTTAAGGCATTGATATGCTAAATCACAACGTATGGCTTAGGGGCACTGCACTTTCTTGGGTCAAAAATTATTTGTCGAACAGACAACAATATGTTCACTTTAAAATTCTGAATTGTAAAAAACTATTGTAAAGAATTATCTTCAATTGTAAACAAGACATATTTTATACACTTTTATCTTCCTTTAAAGCCACTATTAAACGACAACTACTATCAGAATACAATCAATGAAAAGTCTCCATATACCTGGCAGAATCAAGGAAAACTCTCTATACCTGGTAGAATCTCTCCAAAAGACATTACTCATGCACTTTATTTTTGTTTAATTTATCTTTTGAACTAATACCCCATTTAATTTGAGTTGCTCTGTTATATTAAACTTGTAATCTTTAATACGTGTTTCATATTCTTCTGTATTTTTGTCTCATTTACATGCCAATTCTGCACAGAAACTTGTTTCAACTTCATGAGCTGTCATTCAATTGATTGATTGATTGATTTATTGACGGTAAAAGCCCTATTCAGCTACTCGGCTGGTTTACAAAGGGGCTGTGCAAAATAACAAAAACCGTAAAACATACTTGACAATAAGAAAATATACATGATATACAGAAATTAATGAAATAGAATTACCAATGTGCACAATGAACAAAGAAAATAGAAAATATGATCAATTTGTGTACAGTATGTAAAATGAAAACATAAAATTATGAAATTCGTTTAGCTACAATATTGCTACGTATTAAATATGATAAAAAAACATATTACCATATAACGTAACATATATCGTAATAAAATATAAGTTACTTTAAAAAAATATATTATTATATAACTTGAAATATGTCGAAATAAAATATAGGTTACTTAAATATAGGCCTAATATTTGGCAAATTCATTTATTTCATGACTTATTAAATTTATTAAAATAAAGGTGTATTGCATGTACGGACTAAAATATATGAAAATTCACTAAGGTAAAATAATGCTAAATTGCAAGTAATGTAAAACATATTTTGGAAAACAGTAAGTAAACAATCAAGCAATGCTACAGAAACAATTCCTTCGAAAAGATCGTGACCCAGGCAAGGTGGTAAACCTGGCTTGCAGACATGAAAGTTTGTCACTTTATTGAAAATGGAATCAAACTTGACACCGTCAATCACATTTTCGTCAGTATTGGTAGGATGTAGTGCTTGTTTATAGTTCTCCTCTGTTCTGATACTACCTGTTGCAAGTGGGTTCTCTCGAAAAGAGTCCCTCCGAATAATGCAATAGCGACAAAAAAAATGGCTCGTGCTAAAGTTCTCGGTAAAACCTCCAATGTTATGAGACCCCAAATTGTCTCCTGCGATTGCGAGTAGTGTACCTTTAACACATGTTTCGTCATCCAGAATAATACCACTATCTTCTAATGACTGAAGGTCACTGATGAGACGACTAAAAACAGCGCTGGCTCCAAATTCCTTATAATCCTGTTCGTTGCAGAGCAACACCAATTGCATATGATCAATGTTTGATCTATTGTAGGGCTGTATATCAGCGAGGGTAGCATACACAGCTAGAATTTTATGTTTTTTTTCCCCACTGCCTAGTGGATTTACTACTTCGAAAGAATCTTGGTACAATATGAGTGTTACTGCTGAGTTTTTATGCAAAGGCTCATCTTTTGGGAATGCTCTGCCATCATAAACATCACGTAGAATGGTCCTTTGTAAAGCAGGTTGAGCTTTATGAGTCTCTTTGTAATCTTTGATAAATGAGTTCTGCTTGAATAATGCTCTTAGTGTGTCTTGAATTTTAATGTATTGGCAAAATCGCTGTTTGCCAAACTGATCTTCTCCTAAATATATCTCAGTTGGGGAAACATAATCAAAAACTGCTTTAAAATGTGATTTTCTTGTAGACTCTGATCGAAATTCTTTACAATTTGAAGCACTGAACAAATCCTCAGATTTAAATAAAGTTAAAACGTTGGTAACCTCATCATCGGTAATTCCTATTCCTTCAAGTTTCTTTTTTAATTTTGGTATCAAATTTTGTTGGCTTAATGCATGAATATCCTGAACTGTGTCAATTATTTCCTGAATTGTAGAGTTGGGCAGGAGTAATTTTGCCTCCAACTTCAGATAAAACAAGGATAAGCTGTGTTTGAATGAGTCAGCGGATACATCTACTTCATCATCTGTCACACTTTCCTCGTCACTTGAGTGCAGTCTTCCAGGAAACTCCTGATTATTTTCTTGGGCGGATTCAGTTAACACAGTACCAGTTTCACTTGAAGTTGAGTCTAACTGAATCTGGTCTAACTTATTGTGAACTCTTGATATATGTGACGCAAAAGACGACCTCACTGAAAAACGTTTTTTGCAATTGGCAAAAGGACAGCGTATTTCAACTCCGTGTTTGATATGAACTCTAAGATGAGAAAGTATGTCATGGATTTCCTCACATTTTACAGCACAGAGTGGACAATTCCAGGTAGAAACGCAGAAAAACTGGGCATCTTTTTTTCTTGAAAATGGTTGATGATCCCTATGCACATGGGTTTTGAAGGATGAATAATTTCTGAATGTTCGATTGCAGCCAGGAACACCACACGGAAATCGAAATTCACCACATTTCTATGGACTGAAAAGTGTTCAGAAAACCGCTTCAATGATCCAGAAGAATGATTACATAGCTTACAAACGTACATGGGTATATGATGTCCATGTAGAGCATCCGTCTGATTAGTGTTTCAGCATGCACACTGTGTGACTTCAGCAGTAATCCATGGCATACTGCAAGAAAGAAGAGCGGAAAACAATACCTTTAATATGCATACGTACACATAACTTTTTATGTACAGCATTGACAGATTAAAAGTTATTTAAATGATAAATGAATAATAAAAAAAAAGATAAAGGACAAAAAATACAAAAGAAAATCGAAAGAAAAACATAAATTCATCAAATATAACCAGTTGTCACGAGCCTCCTGATGATGACTGTATGCGAAACCTTCAGCAAAAAAACATTTGATTTCACGGCTATGAATGTTACTACATAAGTGAAATTAACATTCATTTGCGGTAAATGAAACTACAATAGATTTCTGTAAAACAAATTTACAATCCTTAAAGACAAAAATTACTGTAATTTACTGTTAGTATTTGAAGAACCTACGGTAACAGCAATTTACTCTAAGAAATGCAGTGATTTACTGTAGGAAAGTTTACAGGCAGATACTTTGAGTAAAAATTGATGGTAACTTACTGTAGATATAACCTACAGTTACTGTAAATTAAAATTACAGTGAATTACGGTAGACAAGTACTCAAAATTAATATGAAATAAAATTACTGTAATTTACTGTAAACTAGCAGTAAGTTACTGTAAATTACAGTAATTTTACAGTAATTACTCAGTAATTTTACAGTAACTCACTGCCAGTTACGGAATGGCCTATTTGGTTGCTATGACAACGCTGCGACCTTCAAAAAAGTAAATTACAGTAATTTTACAGTAAATTACAGTAATTTTAAAGTAACTTACTGTAAATTACTAAGTAACAGTAAAATACTAAGTAATTTTACAGTAACTTACTGTAATTTTATTTCATATTTTAACTTTTAAGTAAAATTACACTATGCAGCAGGATTGCCAGTACTTTGCTGTAATTTCTTCAGTAACGTGCTGTAGACTACACTACATGAGCTTAGACTTGTGCGTATTCAACTGATCACGCAGTGTGCTCATGATGGACTGATGCTGTAGTCGATCGTAGTGTGTGCGGTGTCCTATAAGTTATAAGTCTTGATGGTCTTGACGTTAGACATTTAACGTGAGCATGCATATCTATGTGCAATGGCATCGCATTGACAGTGACACTGTACGCTGGTACTGCAGTACAGTGTCATGTGCTGCACTAACACTACCGACTCTGTCCCACACACCACAGCACAGCACGTACAGTACACATATACCGTAGACGGAACAATTACAAACACAATCCCTATACTTTCCACAGTCTGACAATTCTTCACTTCAGCGGGATACAAATCAAATCATGACTCTGATAATTGGCAATCTGTAACTTACCTCGGATCCCCTTGGAATTGACTTATTGGTCATCAATATCCCAGCTCGAGGATCAGGACCAGGAACAGAACAGATTCAGATTCGTTGCTCAGGATCAGGCCGGCCAGCTCAGCTATATATCTCAGCTCAAATCTTTGCAGAAAATTAAAAATGGCGGCGCGGCGTGGCGGGCTAGCGCGGGAGCCAATCACGTGCAACGCATACGCGCATATGCAGCCGATCCGCCTAATGCGCATGTGCGCTGTATCCCACAATGCTTTTTGCACGCTCCTTTACACTAGCTAATTACTGTAGATATTTGTTCCCATGCTCTACGACACTGATGTTTACAGCAATATACTGTACAGCAACGTACTTATACAGTTAATTATCGTAAAATCGTTATTACAACATATTACTGTTGTAAATCACAGTATTTTACTGCATGAGTTACAGCAAATTTTTACAGTGTAGTTTGAATGTCACTGTGAATGTTTAGAACCTTGTCATGAAAGAATTTTCCTAAGTCATTCACAAAAATCTTCTTATCAATGTTACATGGCATCACTGGTTGTTTGTTTTATGTGTTACTAAATCTTTATGATAAGTTCTGTGAGCAGCATTCAAAACATACAATGCTGCATTGCGAGCTTTCTTGTACTCATTCAGATCGTGATCAGATCGTGTTCTAGACCATCGTTTCTGTGCTTTTCTTCTTTGCTTCTTTGCTGCTCTAACCTCGTCCGTGTACCATGGCACATGAGGACGGGCAACTACTCGTTTTGATACTAAAGGAGCATGTTTATCTAAGACCTTTCTGAGTGTGATATCATACAAGGAGGCCAGATCAGAGATATCACTGGGTACATGTACATTTTGACAGAGTATACTTTCTGCAAGATCTATACTAAACATCCTAGCATTAATACGGGAGTATTTGCGATACGGCACAAGTTTGTCAGCCAATAATGGTTTACATGTATTGAGATGGCACATAACAGGAATATGATCAGATAAGAGGTAATCACATGGCCATGGTTGGCCAACAATTATATCATCAGACTCGCGACAAATAAGTAGGTCAAGGGTATGACCATGTGAATGAGTACTAAAATTTACAAATTGAGTACAACAGAGTGATTCGAGGAGGTCTCTAAATGACTTTGATTCAGATGAGCTTACATCAACTCGAATGTTGAAATCACCAGCAATTAGTAATGGAACATTGGACAAAAGGTGATCTTGAATATATTCATTGAACTGAGAAAGAAACAGTGAAACAGACACGGGATGAGATTCTGAATATGGTGGTCTGTATATATTGATCAAATGAAGACGAAACGATTTACAAGAAATATGATATTCAGCATACTCAAATGATTCCTTTTGACCAGCGACAACTTGACGAGCATCGATGGAATCTTTGGAGAGAAGACCAGTTCCACCGCGGCGACCAGTCCTAGGATGGTGAAGGAAGCGATACCCAGAGGGAACAAATTCTCGTAGAACTGCGGTGTCACTCTCAGTTAACCAGGTTTCTGTTAGTGTGACTAAATCAGCATTGCTTTCATAGACAAAATCGTGAATAATAGTTGTTTTATTACGAACAGAGCGTACATTAATTGAACAAAGTTTAAGACGATCTGAAAGTGATGAAGTTCTAATCGTTGCTTGACTTACATGTCGAAGACTATTCTTTTTCCTTCCGCCTCGATTACCCCGTCTGGTTTTCTTACGCGTCGTCTTTTGAATTCCATATAATCCAATAGTTTCACAAACATGTAGTGGAAGAGGTGCAGTGAAATCTTTCCACTGACAGAGTTCAGCTGGGGTGTACTTGATGACAGCAGCAGGTTGATTGACAAGACGTTTTGTAGCGAGTAGGGTGTCATCATGTTGCTTGTCTGGGCCGGGATTGGGGTGGACATCACCGGCATGAAGTAGTTCCAACTGGAAGGAGGCATTGCTGTTAACACTGTATGGGATCCTTGTTTTAAGGAAATGTTTCCTGGTGAAAGGTTGACAACCCAAAGGATGGACAATGGTCTGTCCACTGCAGTCAGCGAAGTCAATAGCACTGGCATAGCAGCACAGAATGATGAACAGTCCCAGATGAAAAGGCTGCATTGTGTTTGATCTGAGTCTAAGCATTCAAGTTCGTTGAAGCAAACAATACACAAAAGCTACACAGTGAGGTACATGTACATGTACAGTAGTGCACAGAGGTGTACAGGGAACATAGATTCTTACATATGGTACTAGTACACTAGAGAAACACATGCATGACACCTACAAACTAACTCAAACAAAACCATCTTTGCAGTATAGAACAACAATACCCACAAGACCACTACAAGTCGGGCTAAGAACAGCAAAACTTGAAGCTCTGCCCATAGGACAACAATCCCTATACCAACTGAATCCCGTACGATAGAGCGCTATACCAGCGAGAAAACTATATGACGACAACATTTTTAAGATTTGTGAGGTCGCAGTGAAAAAAAATTACATCTTATAAAGAGGAAGGGAAAAAACTCCAGATGGGATTATAAGCACATTCTCATAACGGAATATTGAAATGACCTGTGATAAGTAACATAATTATATCGTTTATAAATGCGAGCGAGCTTTGGGGGAAATTGCTCTTAGTCGCTATAAATATGGGGCACGTTTAATGATGAGAGGAAAAGGGGACACTTATCGAAAGGGATAAATTTAAACACTTATTAGAAGAGAAAATTAGGAGCACGTGTCAAAGTACAGTACAAAGGGTAATTATCAGAGGTGAAAATAAGGCACTTCTTACACCTGGAAAGAGACGCTCACCAGGGATGAAAAAGGCACTTAGGAGAATGGGAAACGGGCATTTGTTGACGGGAATGGGGCACCCATCAGATTTTGATAGGGGCATCTATAAGAGGTGAAAAGGGGATAGCTCCCTTATTATAAAGGAAAAGGAGCACGCATCATTGTTAAAAGGGGCACCTATCGCACCTGAAAAGGGGCACTGACCAGATATGAAAAGGGGCACTTATAATAAAGGAAAATTTGCATTTTTTGAAAGAAAGACAATTTTAATAAAAGCATTTATCGGAGGTGTATAGCGCTTTTATGAGAAGGGGAAAGTAGCTATTATTAAAAAGAAAAATAGCCACATGCCAACGGGGCACTTATCACAGATGAAAAGGGGCAATTATGAAAAGGGGAAGGGGGTACTTATAAGAAGGAAAAAGAGCGTTTATTAGAAAGGAAAAAGGGCACGTGTCAAAATAAAAGGGGCAGTTATTAGAGGTGAAATGGGGCACTCATCAGAGATGAAAAGATCAATTATCGGAGGTAAACGTAGCACTTATCTGAAGTTGAAAAGGAGTAACTTCTCGTACCTAAAAAGGATAATTTACCATAGATGAAAAGGCGCTCTTATAAGAATGAAAAGGGACACTTTTCATATGTTAAAAGGGGCATTCATGAGAAGGGGAAGGCGCTTTTAATTTTTTAATAAGGAAAAGGGGCACTTATTAGAAAGGAAAAGGGGCATATCACATGTTAAAATTAAAGATGCGCTTATCTGAGTTAAAAAGGGGTAGTTATTAATAGGGGAAGGTGCACTTCTTACAAAGGGAAAGGGGCACTGTCAAAGTAAAAGGGGCACCTCTCAGATTTGACACGGGCAATTATCAGAGGGGAAGGGGGTACTAATCAAAAGTGAAAAGAGGCACTTCTCGTACCTGAAACTGGGCACTTACTAGAGATTAATAAAGGCACGTATGAGAATGGAAAAATTGTCGAAGGAGAAGGTGAAAAGGGGGAGGGTCACTTTTCCAAGTAAAAAGGTCACTTTTCCAGTGTAAAAAGGGACAAAGTTAAAGGGTCACTTTTCGTTGGTAAAAAGGGGCACTTGTTGGGTACTTGTAAAAGTGCCCCCCCCCCCCCCTGTCAACCGGGAGGGCCGTCTCTACCTGCAAACGTCTCTACCTGCAAACATAATGCATACTGTTTATATATCAAACATCATAAGGCCTAACAAAAAAAATGTTGTATTGCCCTTTAGGTGCCAGAACCTGGGTCGGTCGGTCGGTTTTCTTCTTTCTTATTTTACCCCCCCCCCCCCCCCCTCAAAACAGAGACTGTCGCCCCAAAAAACAAAAAAACGGGAAAGTCGCCCATATCTCGTTGGTTTCTAGCTGGTGCATTGCATGGTGTATACACGTACACTAGGCGGGGGTCTACGTGTTTACAATACCAGGATTTCGAAACTAGGGCAAAAGATAAGTGTTTGGGAATGATTCGATGATTCTATACATGTATATCCCGTTCTAACAAACAAAATGAATATCTTTGTATTCATTAAACATTTTTCGTCTAAAAAAATGGTTAAAAAAATAAAAACTTTATTAAAAAGCCGACCCTAGATTTAAAATTGTTTGTTTGGGTCGGTCGCAAAGGGCAATAAAACATCTTTATTTAAACACCTGTAGGGTATGTGCATAAGACTTGAAACGGAAAATAAATGATTTACAGACTGCTACAAAGAATAAATGTCACTTTAAACAGAATCATTTCCATCACTTAGATATATTTATTCAAATACAATAAGTAACCTTTGATGGCAATGTACTTATAGGTGTACTTAAAACATTTCAAGATTGAATAATAAAAGAAATCAGAAGAAGAAAAAAAATCTAAAAATTTATAAAAAGAGACGTGACTTTATCGTACATTCTTCTTATACAGAAGCAATATAAACTTTGCATAATAATGTATCGTTTTATAAATTAAATCAAACAAACGAACAAGGATCAAAATAAAATTAATATGGTTATCTCAACAAAGTGATTCTGTTTGTAACCTCTGACATCATGACCTTTGAATTATACAGGTCAACATACATCGCAGGATATAAAGTTCTCAAAAAGACAATTTTCACCTTTTAACATCTGAATTCTAGCTATGTCAAATTGGTACATGTATGTACATATGTTAGGATTGTGCAAAATGGATCTATAGATATTGTGGTGATAGAACCAACATATTATTTGTACGTTAGAATGAATGTCACCTCTTTTAACCTTTAACCCAACTAGTCATTAAAACTGAAATTTCGTTCTGTGACAACAAATCAATAAACACTGGTTTACAAAAGTAAATTTAGATTGCTGAATTTCCACACATAAGATCTTCTGTCCTATTTCTTTATTAAACCAGATCAACATATAGCTCTTTCTTTATTTCATGAATCATGTCATCTCCCTACGTGAATGAATGCTCATTTAAGTTTGATGTTCATACCCTAAAAGGATCTCAAGTGATTGGGATAACAAGTTCAAATGAACCAGAGCGGACGGACAACATTGACGGACTAAAAATTAATCTTCATACAGCACCTTTAAAGGCATAGATATAAACCATAGTAACAATACATGTTACAGTTCAGCAGCAAATTAACAATGAACATGAACTAAATCTGAGTTACTATCCGTTTTAAAATTCTCAAAAATAAAAAATGGAATCTGATATCTTATTTGCCCTGCAGTAAATGGAGATCAAATCATTTATTATGGTATGGATATACCTCATTAAGAAAGTAGAGATCAGTGGAATATTGACATCATATTGATGGCATGTAATCCATAGGGATCTATCTAACCTGTTTTCTTTTTGTTTATTTTTATTTGGACAAGTCATTGCCCTCCGCCTGCCGGATGGTGGGTTTTTAGGCCGTTTTTTTTTGGTTTTTCACATTCATCCAATCAGAGATCAGTAGAGCATTGACATCCTACTGGTGACATGTAATCCATAGAGGTCTATCTATCATCCAATCAGAGATTAGTAGAGCATTGACATCCTACTGATGACATGTAATCCATAGAGGTCTATCTATCATCCAATCAGCTACTCATGTTCATACCTTTAACATCTTGAACCTTTATAGAAAATTATTTCTTAAAACTAACCACTTTATAATAATGATTGTATTACTGCTCAAGCAAATAATCTATTATGATTTTTGCTTCTGTATTATTCCATAAAAGGAAATACAATACTCAATATGTAAGTACATCATTTGACCACTAATAGATAGAAAAAAGGAAGATCTTTTTGTAATCCTCTTACAAACTATACACTATAAAAAATGACACATTTTAAGTACATGACAGACAATATTACAAAACATTACTCACTTCACAACATTGTAATTTACTCTACGATTGAGCACTACAAAATGATTTTTTTTTTTAATTCACAGAAATGGGCTCTCAAAGAGCAAAGGTTCATGAAAAAAATACCATCATGATTTTAGTATTGGCAGGTACAAAACAAGGAAACAAAACCAAGGAAACACATTTTCCAGTGGAACTCTTGCGATAAAGATTTGGCGCTTCCTATTACATAAAACTGTGGGATGAAAATTGGTACAAAATGCAACCAAAGAACTGCAAAATTTTACTTGAATCTGTAACTGATATCACTATCTTTCCAACCATCTTCAATTTGTTCATTTGTAATCAGTGTTTATCATCATTTTGACAAGGACCATATGCTTGTAATTCACATAACCACGATTTAAACTTTAAAAACTTTTAAATCCCAATCCTTTATAATCATTTATGTACATGTACTGGGTATATTGCAGATTTAGTACGTTCTAAACTACCGAGGTCATAAAACTGTGGGATGACTGTTGATACGAAATGCAGACAAAAAAAACTTCTTTTGGAGCACTCAAGTCTTAATGCCCAAATATAACCCTCGTTAAAGCTACATTTATTGCATCCTAGATATGGAGGGTCAAATTTCATAAAAATGTGGGATGATTGTCAGTATGTATACAGAAAAAACAGTGAAATGTCAAAGTAACCATCTTTAAATTACACTGTCATCAAACTGTACCTGATTTGGTTGTGTGTATTGAGTATGACTGTGTTCTTAATTGTATAGTTTATATAGGGAGACAATGCTCATTAAATAAAATTAAACAAATTGAAATCTCTAATCACTTATAATCATTGATGTACATTGCATATTTTGGTGTTTCCTATTTCATAAAACTGTGGGATGAAAGTTGGTACAAAATATAGCAAAATAACTGAAAATAGTTTAATCCTTGATGTACATTACAGATTTTGGTGGTTCCTATTTCATAAAGCTGTGGGATGAAAGTTGGTACAAAATGTCGCAAAATAACTGTTGTTATAATCATTGATGTACATTACGGATGTTGGTGGTTCCTATTTCATAAAGCTGTGGGATGAAAGTTGGTACAAAATGTAGCAAAATAACTGTAAATTGTTATAATCAGTGATGTACATTACAGATTTTGGTGGTTCCTATTTCATAAAACTGGGATGAAAGTTGGTACAAAATGTAGCAAAATAACTGTAAATTGTTATAATCAGTGATGTACATTACAGATTTTGGTGGTTCCTATTTCATAAAACTGGGATGAAAGTTGGTACAAAATGTAGCAAAATAACTGTAACTAGTTTCTCACATTGTATCCACCAGTATAAAAATAACGTTGAGTTCTCAGGGGGTGTTTCACAAAGCATTTTTTCAATGACAAATGACAAAAGTCAGTGACAAATCTGCTGATGACCAATCAGAAGCAAGGATTTCAGTAGCTTATAACAAAAACTGTCATTTGTCACTGATGACAAGTTTTGTGAAACACCCTCCTGGCCAAGCAAGGACAATGCAAAAGAGATGTATGTGGAAACAATTAGTACACAAGAATTGGTTTATACTGTAGGCTTTGGAATCATCAAAATGATAAGAAATAAGACTTCTTCTTGCTGAAAGTTGCATGCATACACTGCACATTGAAATGTATGTATATGACTACATTTAGTACACATTATTTCATGTCATATTTTGAATACCAGTACATTTAAAGAGCATATCTTTCTAAGGGAAATTTCAAACTAGTGTGAAGAGAATGAGAACGTTTTGAAATGATTTTCCATCTTTAATTACCAGAACATAACCTTCTCTCTTAACATGGTGTAAATCATTCTCGGTGTAATGTTGTTTCTCTTCAATAACATCCATCTCATTCTAATTCGTACTGGCAGCGATTTAATACAAGCATGACATTCATGATTAAAGTATATGTCAAAAGAGATGGAAGCAAACTAGCAAGGTTGAGTAAACATAGACAATTTTCACTAAAATGATATTGAACTGAAATGAGAATTGGAGCATGTTTGTTATGCCCAACTAAGAGCATTCTTCTATTGCTATACCTAGCAGGCTATTATTAAAATATCCCTTTATGGGTGTTTGATTATTGACAAGAATGGAGAATTAGAGCATGTATTGGTGAGCATTACGAAGAACATTCCTACAATTTATTTAAAACTTCTTTTATTTTTACTGTACAAAAAAATCTTAAAACTACAAACTATTGCACTTACATACTTTAGTACAATATACAATTATCAACATGTTGAATGTATATTTCATACATGAGTTTTCTAGGGCTACATAAAGAGGAATCAACTGTTGATAGAAAGTTGACTCAAGAGGGAGTAGGGAAACAGATCTCAACATTCAGACAAACGATAAGAACATTAAGACTTTCTTAAAGTCATGCCACCTCTTTGAAATAAATATGATTATGGAGAATTTCCTATGAGTGCAATTGTATAGTAAGAACCCATCCATATAACTCGTAGTTTACTTTTCTCAAGTCTCATGATGGAGTAGCATACATGTAACCATGTACACATAGCAGGATAATGAATACTGTAGTCTTTTCTATCATTGAAGTGGACAAGGGGAAGTATCACATAGTTTGCTTCTTTTTTCTTCTGTTTTACAGAACAAAAAGTGAGTTCTCACTGTTTGATGCTCACAATTTGATTTTCATCATGTGACATCATACCAGATGAAAACATTACCAGTCAGAAGAAGATAACATTAGTAATCTTACTACTTTGTTAATTTTTCTCAAATTTTCACTGACCTGCATTTCTGATTTTTTTTTTTTTTCCATTAAAGCCAACTTTCTACAAAGAATAAAAACTCTTTAAATCCATTAATCAAATATTTGTTTTACTGTTTTGATAAATTATAGACAAAAACTAAAAACAAATTCCATTCAGTATTTCAGTCTTCTTACTACCGGTACTCCACATTGTGAGTTAAATTAAGGTCACTATTAAAGCTCTATTTATCTCCTATAATCCTCTCAGATATAGCTTTCAATCAGACCCTTCAACAACTTATACAGAGCAAGAAAGAAAAATTACACACTTCATAATTTGCCCATTGTTGCAAGATGGAGCTACAAATAGAACTTCTTCCTGCTTCTTTTGGTGCTATTTTTGTTGGACAACTCTTCATGGCAGACTGCAGAAGGTTCAATTGCATGTGTTTATGTCAAACTCCATTCGTGCCAACGCCAGGTGTTTTCTTGCCTCTGTCTTAATACATATGTTCATCTTAGACTTGATGCTATTATTGTAACCATCAATTCATATGAAAATCACTAAAGATATAATAATTAATGGCATATTAATATGTTACACACATATCTTAGATAATCAACAAGTTTTTTAAATATTTTATTGGGTATCTTGAAAGGAATATCTTATCACTTGATAGCATCATAGACTTACTTCAGCCCTTTATTATCTTAGATATAATATTGCAAACACTTCCAAAACAAATCAATGGCATATTCACAATTTGAAGGATAAATATTTCCCACTTGGATGTCTCTGAAATTGACTTGTTGGTTGATCAATTCAATCATGGTTTTATAAATCATGTTATCCAGAATTTGTTATAACACCACATTTTTGCTTCAATTACAAACATGTTGTAATGTGCGAGGGCTACATTGTCAATATACTTCATATCTAAAAAGGGTAAGAGCAAGGCGTGGCCTGGAGTTGATAGAAATGGAGTTGACATTATCCCATACACTGACCTCTGTACAGCCAACCATGTAGAACAGCCCAACATAAATGGTAAGATACAACATTTCAGAATTAAGAGTTATAGAACTTTGCAGCTAGATAGCTGAATTGTTTCAGTTTTACAGATTACAAAATAAGAAGTTACAATATTCAAAAAAACATATAAATCGTACTCACCAAAATTTAAAGATGGTACCCCACAAAAACGCAGGAGGAATGATTCTGTTACTCAGGTTCAAATCATTTCATATTTTATAGCTCCATCTTAAAACAATAAGCAATTTAAAAAGTGTGCACATTATTTTCTGACATATATATTGTAAAATACAAGTATGTCTGAAATATAATAAAGGAGTATGGTTTTAAGAACAAAAGGAGAATATCACAATCATGTATCAATTCCAATAAATAAATGTATACATGTATGTAAGTCATTACATAGTATGTATAACATATCCTCATCTTTTAACTTTGTTGTTATAAACCCACACAGTATTAGATATGTTGGAAGAAAATATACTCGCCAACATTTCCTACCATATACCCTATTTGGCATTTTGTGTTAATGTTAAAATGCAGACATTAGACACAAAGATTGTAATCTATAATTTCAGATGCACTTATAATGAAAATAATTGGTCATAAATATTCATCCATTACATAAATGAAGATAAAATAAGAGCTGTATAAATACTCCTAAAGTGTATATTAAAAATCATGACCTTGTATACATGTACTACAAATTGTCCATTGAAATACAAATTTCAATGCATGATATCATATATTCTGTGAAATTCATCCAAGAAATTGGAGTTATTGTATATATACTTGTACATATTTCTCTGCTTGAGAATCTGAATTAAAAACTCAACTTTGGCATACATCATTCCCTACAGTTATTACAATACAATAATCCACTGGAGGGAAACATGAGATCAAGAAATGAATAATTCGCAATATCAATTGCTTACTGATGTTCTCAGAAAAGAATTTGCATATAATGGTTGATCTTTACAAAAACAGCAGTTAATATGAGCTCAGCTACAAGTTCTACTCTCTGAGTTGCAGATTCACTAAACAGACAGACAGACAGACAGACAGAGAGCACTCATTACATATCATCCAGACTCCTCTATACCTTGTCCTTCACAGTCTGCTTCATCTTCCAGCAATGAGATTGGAGGAATCAGTCCACTGGTATCCTATTTGTAAAAACTCCCATTCACCTTTCCAGGCCCATTGGCACCCTGGTTTTAAAAACTCCCATTCTCCTTTACAGGCCCATTGGCACCCTGGTTTTAAAAACTCCCATTCTCCTTTACAGGCCGTTTGGCACCCTGCGTTTACAAGCATATCACAGTAGAATACACCTATCCCTTTTTCTATCTTTCTTATTCGAGTCCACGGGCTGTCTCCTACACACAATAAAGAAAGAACAAAGAAAACACTTGACATACATGTGAATTCACATCACTTATGTGTTGAAACTAATCTTAAGTTCTGATAATAGAAATTAAATTCACAAGAAACTGATTTGAACTAATTCTAAATTGTTATCATGCAGACTTCATTTTTTTCAGATCAGTGAAAGGTACAGACTTGTTAGACATTGGATTCATTCACTGACATTACATTCTATATTGTCCTAACTTGGATGGGACAACTAGTGACAGCTTCCAATAACGGGTGGGGGGGGGGGACAAAGAGACAAAGAAACACCTTATTTGGTAAATCAAAAATAAATTTAAAAAATCTAGGAAATGACAGCGTTATAACAATATTTCAAGGGTCACTACATTGTGTATTGCTGCATAACCACACTGCCTTTTATCTTAACCCTCTGACTACTTGCAACCCTATCCCAGCAGCCTACCCCAGCAGTTAGGTACCCTCAGCTAGCAGTGATGGTACATAGTCCTGCACTGGGGCTAGTATTCAATTAATGATATTGTACTTACTTGCAACCCTATCCCAGCAGCCTACCCAGCAGTTAGGTACCCTCAGCTAGCAGTGATGGTACATAGTCCTGCACTGGGGCTAGTATTCAATTAATGATATTGTACTTACTTGCAACCCTATACCAGCAGCCTACCCCAGCAGTTAGGTACCCTCAGCTAGCAGTGATGGTACATAGTCCTGCACTGGGGCTAGTATTCAATTAATGATATTGTACTTACTTGCAACCCTATCCCAGCAGCCTACCCCAGCAGTTAGGTACCCTCAGCTAGCAGTGATGGTACATAGTCCTGCACTGGGGCTAGTATTCAATTAATGATATTGTACTTACTTGCAACCCTATCCCAGCAGCCTACCCCAGCAGTTAGGTACCCTCAGCTAGCAGTGATGGTACATAGTCCTGCACTGGGGCTATTATTCAATTAATGATATTGTACTTACTTGCAACCCTATCCCAGCAGCCTATCCCAGCAGTTAGGTAGCCTCAGCTAGCAGTGATGGTACATAGTCCTGCACTGGGGCTAGTATTCAATTAATGATATTGTACTTACTTACAACCCTATCCTAGCAGCCTATCCCAGCAGTTAGGTAGCCTCAGCTAGCAGTGATGGTACATAGTCCTGCACTGGGGCTAGTATTCAATTAATGATATTGTACTTACTTGCAACCCTATCCCAGCAGCCTACCCCAGCAGTTAGGTACCCTCAGCTAGCAGTGATGGTACATTTGTAGCATAGTCCTGCACTGGGGCTAGTATTCAATTAATTATTTTGTACTTACTTGCAACCCTATCCCAGCATCCTATCCCAGCAGCCTACCCCAGCAGTTAGGTACCTTCAGCTAGCAGTGATGGTACATTTGTAGCATAGTCCTGCACTGGGGCTAGTATTCAATTAATTATTTTGTACGTACGTACCTGATTACCCTCACTACTTCATGAAAGGCTGCGTCAATGTTCTTAGGAGGATCTTTTGCACTTGTTTCAATATAAGGAATAGGCTGTAACAAAGCAGTCAAAACAAACAAAACAATTATGTTATTAGACAGTGTTCGTTGATTAACAGTACCATACATGTATTGACTTTTCTTTAGAAATGCATTCATAGTTTGGTCCTAATGTGTATTAAATTGATGTTATGACAGTCATGCTTCTCTCTGACTTCTGTGAGTGGATGAATTATTTAGTTGGATGATGGGTAAATAAAATATTCAATGATGTCCACATGTACATGTAATGAACTGCTGCTACGCCCTGGCCTGTATTGTTTTCATTTGTTCATCACAGATAACTGTGCATGATCAAAAAAATTGTTGAATTCTGGTTAATTTTGGATTATATTTTTTGGCATATGAACATGCGCAAAACTAGAAAATGTTGTCACCTAAATTTTCCACAAATTACTGTAGAAGCCATTTCTGTAGCAAAAAAAAAATGCAATTTTCAAAAAAAAAATCATTGTTGTAATTTAGTCTTTCTGTAGCACAAAAGCTTCAAGCCTGTAGCAGTAATGGTTTGACAGTATTTATTTGTTATTTGCAATGCCAGCTTTTCCTCTCCTTTACCATCATTCCCTTCCCATAGATACATTCACTTACCCCTAATTCTGCAGCTACATTCTTGCCTTCTTCTTCCGTTACCTTCCTCTGATGTACTAGGTCCACTTTGTTGGCAACAAGGATCATGGGATACGAGTCTCTGTAAAATAATAGCACATGGGATCATTGCATCAGAGACACACTATAATGCAATCATTTCTTGCAGGGCTAGCAACTGAGATGGCAGTATATTGAACATGTGTGACCAGCTTTGACTCTGAAATATATTTCAAGTTCTTGTTGCCTTTTCTACATGCGAGGATCTCTAGAGGCTTACACAATCCTAAGAAAGATTTTGAGAGAAAGACGTGCATGAGTACTGGAGTAAAAAAGAAAAGAAAAGGAGAACAAAGGGTTACCAGTAAGGAATCTACTGAAGTTCACTCAAGGAATAGATCTAGTGTGAAAGAGGCATCATGAGTGAAAGAGTTATGAGTCTATGAGTATTTGAGTGTGAAATTATTCTCTGTTAATTTGTTATCATCTCATGGAGCTCTATGTGTGACCAGGTGGTAATCTACATGTATGGATGTCTGAAAGTGTGAAGTGTGAAAGTGGCAGGATTCACACATACATGTTTAACAGGATGTCTGAACTTCAATTTGGGGAAGGGGAGGGGGATAATGTTTCACTGACCCCTGATTTTTTTTCTCAACCACCTACCCCCCCCCCCCCTACCCCACTTGAGTAAAAAAAAAATTAAAAAAAGGATTCAGGAAAAAAATTATATCTAACAACATTCCCCCCTTTTGAGAAAGAAAATTGGGAAAAAATCAGGGGAAATTGGGAAAATAAGGAAAAAATAAGGAAAATTGGGGGGAGGGATTCAGGTAATTATCAGGCCTAAACAGGTTACTTACTTGTCTTTGACTCTGAGAATCTGAGTATGAAAAGCTTTCATGTTCTCATAGCTGGCTCTATCAGTGACTGAATAGACGAGAAGGAAACCATCACCAGTCCTCATATATTGCTCTCTCATTGCAGAAAACTCTTCTTGACCAGCAGTATCCAACACTACATAAAATGAAAGAGAGACAAATCAAACATACAGTTAGATTAGAGACAACTGCTTGTAGTATTGAGTCAAGTAGCTGTAAAATGTACAGAAACCAAACATTCAGAAAGTTGCCTCCAGTGAAAGCAGAAAACACAAACAAAAAGAATGTTTATCACTATTTGAATATTACATTGTATACATTGTACATTTATGGAATCATAATTGAATTATTCTCTTTAATACATTCATGTATAGTTGTTGTAATTGTCATAGCTATAAATGTACATGTACATGAAATGCAAGAACATTTCTTTGCTCAATATTTGAAATGATTACAGTACCATGGTGGATATAAAAGTATAATATTAAAGGTGAGTTACATGTATGTCTTGTTATCTGTTACCATTTTGCATAACAGCGGCAGTCAAATGAAAGTTAGGAATTTGTAAGTCGAGGTCATGCAAATAATCATGCATCAATGTAAAACTTAAAATACATGTTTGGGGTCTACATGTATCCTTTAAAGTTAAAATAGCTGGGCTCTACTAGATTAGCAAATTTCATCTGGATTTTTACAACCCGTGCCCAGCACAATGCTAGGTCAATGTACCAGTAGTATGCGCTTCATTAATGGGTATACATTTTTAAATAGTTTTAGTCTGCAAAAACTATGTACTGTAAACCATCAAAGATGTAAGCTGTGATATCATTACTTTAGTAATCAAACAAAATAGGTTTTTCCAATACTGTTGAATGTCGTGGGTCACACAATGATTACCTACCATCTAGTATACACCAATCACCATCAATCTCAGTATGTTGAATGTAAGAGTCTTCAATAATTACCTACCATCTAGAATACACCAATCACCATCAATCTCAGTGTGTTGAATGTAAGAGTCTTCAATGATTACCTACCATCTAGTACACCAATCACCATCGATCTCAGTGTGTTGAATGTAAGAGTCTCCAATGATTACCTACCATCTAGAATACACCAATCACCATCAATCTCAGTATGTTGAATATAAGAGTCTTCAATGACTACCTACCATCTAGTACACCAATCACCATCGATCTCAGTGTGTTGAATGTAAGAGTCTCCAATGATTACCTACCATCTAGAATACACCAATCACCATCAATCTCAGTATGTTGAATGTAAGAGTCTTCAATGATTACCTACCATCTAGAATACACCAATCACCATCAATCTCAGTGTGTTGAATGTAAGAGTCTTCAATGATTACCTACCATCTAGTACACCAATCACCATCGATCTCAGTGTGTTGAATGTAAGAGTCTCCAATGATTACCTACCATCTAGAATACACCAATCACCATCAATCTCAGTATGTTGAATGTAAGAGTCTTCAATGATTACCTACCATCTAGAATACACCAATCACCATCAATCTCAGTATGTTGAATGTAAGAGTCTTCAATGATTACCTACCATCTAGAATACACCAATCACCATCGATCTCAGTATGTTGAATATAAGAGTCTTCAATGATTACCTACCATCTAGTATACACCAATCACCATCAATCTCAGTATGTTGAATGTAAGAGTCTTCAATGGTGGGGTCATAGTCTGCTACAAAGAGTTTCTGGAAGAACTGTATCGTGATAGCACTCTTGCCCACGCCTCCATCTCCTACCACAACCAACTTGTAAGTGGTCAGATTCTCACGAGAAATGTCTGATAATGTCGTCATTTTTAACTCTTTCTTTCCTCTTCTGGTTAGACTAAGTGATATTCCTCACTTAAGCACAGTCAGGGCTATGCTACTTTGTCTGTCCCAATGATTGCATCACTCCAGCTCTGTAGAGGAGGTGCTAGCTGTTTAAATATGACGATCACCACTGCCCCCGATTGTGGGGTAGTAAGTCTGTAGGTGACTTGATGAAACTCTCACTTAACCATCTTAGCAGGTCATGTTTCTATCAATCAGCACAACATCAATGGAATGATGACACCTTGAGGACTCCTTGTGTGGTGAGGTAGAACTCTACATCATCTTCACCGACTTGAATTATCTGTCTTTTTCATTGTCATTCCTTTTCTTCCGATGATCATCAGTACCTACATTCAGGAGACACAATAACCATTGGTTTCTATTAGTAAACAAAATCCATCCACATAACAGCACAATTCTTACTCTATTCTGTAATCAATAATGTATCCAGGCCTATATGATTATTAATGCTACAGGGAAAAGAGAGAGCATGAGAGAGAGAGAGAGAGAGAGAGAGGGGGGGGGAGAGATAGCGAGAGGGAGAGATAGCGAGAGAGGGGGAGAGAGATAGCGAGAGAGAGAGAGAGAGAGAGAGAGAGGATGCTTCCGCACACAAAATTTATACAGAAAAGTTAATTGTAGTCCACATATTCATTGGTAATGGTATTTGGTAATGAGTTCGCCTTGGCAGTCACAGTCATAAATGTATGTATTAGAAGTTTTACAAGGTTGGCCTACCTGGCAACATTGCAGAGTGCTTTTAGTACTTCCTGCCAATTAAGTTCCTGGGTCCTATTGCATAAAACTTACCATTGATGGTATTACGTTGCCGTTAATTAATGATAAGTTTTAGACAATGGAGCCCAGGGGTAATTTGCACTCAGTAGGCTTGTTTTTCAACTCACAGCTATAAACATAATACAAATAAAAAAGAACCAATATATGACGAGAATCTTGATGTAATAGTTCTTGTCGGTTCATGTCCAAACCATTAAGCTTCATACTGTACATTGCACACATGATAAAAATCAATCAAACTTGAATAAAGACTGCAAACGTCCAAAAATTATGTGTTAGGATAGAAAATAGATTTCACATACATGTACTTATTATAGAGTATTTGTAATGCACCAACTCAACACGAATAATGTGTTCGAGGCGGAATGGAGAAGAAAAACTAAAAGTACAAAAAAAAAAGGTAAGGTCCAGTTTGTGCAAATGACAGATTCCCACATGATTTCTTAGTTTTCGGAACAACAAGCAATTTAGAATCGGATGATCTTAAAAGCGTCTGGGAGGATAATAAGGCATCAACAAATTATTGTTGTACTCTGGGGGCAGATCTATGTATAGTTGTAGGCTTACGGTACTGCTAATCAAAACTATTTTACTGTAAACTTAAACACTACATGTACATGTAGATGTGAGTAATGTTGAAGAATCTACTTGATATCTTTCAAGCAATTTTTGTTTTAAATGTTGACCTTTACATGTATGTGTACGCTCTTCAGGGAAAGTGATTGTTCAATGTTTACACTTAGCTGGACAACAACAAAATATTTTACTGCAAACTCTAATTTAATTTATATCTCACCACGCCTTAACATCTTGTGCATGAAATGCATTTGATAATTCATGTGAAAACTACTACCGTATTTGCCGGCGATAAGGTCGCAGTGTTGGGGTGCGGCCTTTACAACAACCTACAACAAAATTCAGCGATCAAAACAGCACTTCCATTTGAACATATGGGACTAGGATGACTAGACAATTCTAGAATAACTCCACACAACTTACCAACAATTTTATGATGCATAGTTGACATGAAGATGAAAAAAAAAAGCATAACTTATTTTTCTAACAAAAATCTGCCGATAGATCTACACACATGTAGATCTAAGTCCGTACCATTGCATCGCCAAAAAAGTAAAAGAAGGGACAGACCATTACTTACGGAGCTAGCAGATGCCGTGCAATGCAACAGCGCAGGTCGAAAACGCAATTCCGGATTACACCGCACATCGTGGTAGGGGTATTGTAGGATACCAAATCTGTGTGCGATACAGTACCGGTACTAGCTTAAAAATCTATGAAGATCTGCTAAATTACGATCATTTTTTAGGTAAACTTCTTGTAAATTTATTAGAATATTGATGAATTTGGTATCAGTTTGTAAAAAAAAAGTGTTCTACAAGAAAATTACAATTACCGTACTTCGTTTGGTCCGGGTTTTTTTAATCTCTTTTTTTTTTTCTTTCTTTTTCCCTCTATGAAATGTCAAAGTTGGGGGTGCGGCCTTATCGCCGGCAAATACGGTATCCGGTTGGCAAGGCTCCTTTCTTTCCTAATGCACCGCAACTCAAGTCAAATTTACCATAAAGACATGTACCGGTATATTATGGAATAAAGCAATGCACATTTATGTAGGGCCTGCTTGATTTTGGAATCATGATCACTTTCACAACTTTAAAAAAGGGTGAAGGAAGGCGGCAGACAAAAAATGTGAACATATGAACTTTCACAAATTTCCCTGAGAAATAAACATGTACACTTGCTAAGGTGTCGTCATGCCATGTTGATCGAATCACAAGTTATAACACTGAAGTTCTGCAATTTGGCAAACTCTTGCTTCAATATGTATACCGAGTATCTACTGTACTGTACGTGTAGATGTACTCAGGAGTACACTATGTACACAGTAGCCTATTTGAAGAGCAAAGGAATCTCATAGATGATATATAAAGATGTTTTAGACTATGTGTAATGTACATGCATTACCGATGACTCACCTCCATCATCAGCACACCCTGCACCAGTCAATTTCAGAGAAACCAAATCACTCAATCTTAATAATACACTCATGTTGGTATTGCATGCCCTGAAAGCATATAACACTCTGCTCCCACATTCATATCGTACAGAGATCTCATTATTTTTAGCTATATTTTTAACTTTCAATTCGCTAATTTCTACATGCAGGAATTACTCATCAATTCAGGAACATTGCAAAATATTACTTTAAATGTACACATGATTAAATTTTCTAAATTGCCACAAGTATTCATACGTATTAGCGGCCATTTAAACAAAATAGATGAAAGAAGATTTTGCTAATAATCTAAAATTGCAAATTTACTACAACCCTACATGTTGTACAAGAAATGAAGAAATGTGTACAATATGCATGTACATCAAGGCATTTAAACAAAGTGTACATGTAGTCCCCTTGTCAATCTGTGAACAGGTTGTAATGCATTACTCATACAGGCAGGCCCTCCCTAGGCTACAGGTTGAGAAGTTTAGATATTACAATGTACAGGCATGCAGGCCTACATGTAAAAAGTAGATCACAGTAGGCCTACAGTACATGTAGATCTAGGTCAAGGCCGGATTCCCAAGCCATCATTGTTTTGCCATCTATCTTCCATAACACTATCACATACATGAATGTACATGTACATGTAAACAAGGCTACATGTAATTGGGCAAGCAAGCTTATATCCATGTACATTATAATCAATGTTATATCTGTATCTGTCCGTGACGTACAATCACCAGCATCTGGTTGTCGCGTACTTTATAAACCAAGGACTGAATGAGTGCTGGTAACTCCTTGGTTTAACAGGATGCAAAACAAACTAGAGTAAAGAATCACATCCTGTATGAACAGGATTCTCTTTACCAAACCAAGCTCATTTACATATTGCTTGAGATTAAAAAGTTATTCAATATTTTTGTTAAAATCACATTTCTTCACACCCTTCCAAACAAATTATTTAAGCCAGTCAGTGTTGCAAATTATAAAATGGAATTAGAGTTTTGGGAGTTTTGTTGTTGTTTGTCTTACTTTCATTTCTTTAATTTTCTTTTATATGATTATAGAAGTTGCAAGATAACAATAACCTCATCAGACACATTGCAGACTTTCACTGGGAGCTCTGATGTGTCAATCAAGTGATTCATAACATCTCAAAATAACTCATTGATTATAATACAACTTACAAATAGCAAACTCATGTACATGTACATGTACCTACAATGTACTTCAGAAGAATTCAATGAATATAGAGATTGTAGGCTAATGATCTAGCCAAGTGGTACATGAACATTTTACTCTTTGAGTCCACCATCCCCCCATCCCCTCAAAGAGGAAAACAAGAGTCATTTCAAAGTACAGGGTATACATGTACCTTTTCATTTTCTATATTTCAATACTGTATGTGTGGAGGTAGTATATCCCATGGCCTAAAGGAGAGAAACATTACACAGACAGACCTTGTATTGAGAGGATTAAAAAGGAAACATGGAACAAAGAAGCTTTAAAAGCATGAGTCAACTCTGGGATAAAAAGAGAGAACAAAATCAATACAGGTTTCAAACAATGAACCGGAAAGCCAGCTCTATACATACTGGATTGGAAGTCAGTTATCCATGTATAACAAATATCTAAAGAAAGTCTACATGGACCTTGCACAAACCACCCACTCAACAAAATCAATTACCGGTATGGATTCACACCCAGCCTACCCTGTATTGCATGAGCTTGGAAAATATATGTAGGCAAACCGGTACTGTATATTATAATGTACTGTGGGGCCATTGTTGTATGTATGGTGGTAAAACTGTTTCATAAAATAAATTATAGATACACACTGGCTATCATGCTGAACATAATTAGGGAATTGTGAGCGACTTGCTTATGGCCTATTGTACAGCACACAAAAGTGTTCCATGGGGGGAGGTGAGGGGCCTTTTCACACTTGTTTTGCTTAACCCTGTACTTTGCTTAGCCCCGTTCTATCCTTAACCCCGGACTAACTTTTTTGGCTTACCTCACTGCAATTCCTTAGCCCCGTACTAGCCAAAGTGTGAATATTCATTAATTCGCTCCACTGCGTAGTCCCAGACTATTTTTTGTTTCTGTTCTCATTCATTTGCTTGGCACTGCAATTGCAGAGTTAGCAGGATTTAGCACCACAATTGCGGGGTCAGCCCTGCTATTTTGCAGGGCCAGCTAACCCCGTACTATAGGTGGGGCTAGCCCACTTTGGTAAATACGAGTCTGAACACAAAGTGGAAAAGGCTTAACCCCGGACTATAGGTGGGGCTAAGACCCCCCCCCCCCCCCCCCCTTTAACCCCACCTATAGTACGGGGTCAAGCAAATGTTTGCCAGTGTAAAAAGAAAGTGGAATAAGCTTAACCCAAGACTATAGGTGGGGCCAAACCCCCCCCCCCCCCTTTAACCCCACCTATAGTACGGGGTTAAGAAAAATATTGCCAGTGTGAAAACAGAATTAGAGTCTCACACCTCCTGCTTAGAAAGAGGGTCAGCAAAAGCGAGCTACAGTTAAAAGTCAAAATTTTCTTTTTGGCCAGGATTTTTTTTTGCTTTATCACAATCCCCAATTTTTACCGATGCAGGCACTGACAAAGTGCGGTGACACATTGTCATAGAATGCAATGTACATGTAGGTGTCAGACAATTTTTTTTTTTTTTCATGGTGTCTCCGATTTACAGACAGGCTTCTGGCCTGCATATCTCTTAGTAAGTGACACTGCGTGATAAGTTTTCTTGGGGTCAGAGACTGATGTACATGTACTGTACATGTACATCATATGGGTAAGTGAGGGGAGGTTTTGCTTGTCCTCATCGCGCATTTTTCAAGTAAACTGGCAGATTAGCTAAACTGAAAGTAAGTCGCCAAATTTTGATGTTTTCAGCTTCAGCATAATTTTCGATGTGATCTTGAAATTATATTTTCCCGCTTAAAGGCAATACAAAGTTTTGGGAAAATTTGAAAATCGGGTTGATAATGATTCTTTACAAATTTGATAATTTAGCCCCTAAGACACTTCTGCTTTCGAGAAAAATTTAATATAAAAATTTACCGGTGCTCCCGGTATATTTTCAAATAGCGCCTATGACCGTACAATGGTAGCTGCGACCATGAAAATCTCAGAATATGTAGTTGTGGTATATAATTTCCAAACGGGAATAGCAAATCGGTCGATTTCAGTTAAAAACGTCGTTTTATAGCTTAATTAATATCTTGACCTACAGAGGGAGCTATACAACATAAAGAGTTTATTATTTACAATTTCATAACTTTAGACTCGATTTCAACCGCGACAAAGATCACTGAATATTGTAGGATCGTATATGCTTCCAATATGTTCATTTGAACCAAATTCATTACCCCATACCAAAACTTTGTATTACCTTTAAGCTTTCACATTTCATTAAATTATTAGAAAGAAAGAAGACGATTCATTATACCGCTCTCTAAGTCTCTTAATCCTTGTCTGAGGGGGGCTACACGCCTGGCAAGAGGGACCCCATTATGCACACTGTAAAATTGTGTGCGACCCTTTCCCGGTAAAAAGCAACACCTTCTTATTATCATCCCCTTTCTTTCTTCTCTCCCTTCTCATTATTCTCCTTTTCCCCCTTTTCTCTCCCCTCTCACTTCACCTTTCTTCCTTTCCTCTTCCTTTTTCTCCTCTCCCCTTTTCTGTCCTCCCTCTTTTCTTCTTCTTTCTCTCTTCCCTTTTCTTTTCTTTCCCCCTCCTTTTTCTCCTTTTGTCCCTTTTTCTTTCCCCCCCTTCCCCACTTTTTTATTTACCAGGGGGCACGTGTCCCCCCCCCCCCCCCCCCCCCCCCCCCCCCCCCCCCCGTGAATCGTAGTTCAGCCACAGCCCAAGAGCAAGTAGCGGGGAGGATGCCTGACGGCCTCGGGCCTCGGCTCCGACTAGCTCCGCTCGCTCGCAGTACACTCGGACACAAACATAACTCATTGAACATGTTCGCACTTACCTCATTGGACGTCGAACTGAAAATTACTTGAAACTTCAATCTCTACAGATTACAAACATCTACTTGCATTACGCATAGGTTACGATTTGACTCTGAATTTAGCCTGTTTGTATAACTATTTTACTTCCTGTGGATGAAGATAGAGTGCAGACAATCAATACGGACTGCACTGTGCAGCGTGTAGCTAGCTGGATGAAGCTCGACCTTAGAATAGTTCGGTCGATCTAAAATCGATGTGACCGATTGACCGTACCGACCGAGTGTCTTATTATCAACCGAATTATCAACATTTTCATCATCATCACATCGACATCACGTAGGCTATAGAGAATTTCATCAAGTCGGACTTTGTTTCCTTTCAAAAACAATTTTACTTTTAACATGTCTCTTTTTATAGGTTTTCTACTCTTCTTTCCATACTTTTACCATCACGACTCTTTGACTCTCGTTTTACACAGTTCACCATTACGACTCGATCTTTTACATTCTTTCATCCTAAATGAATCCTTTTCATACTTTCCTTCGAGACATTTCACCATTACGAACTTTTTCCATACTCTCTCACGACTCTCTGACTTTCTTTCTCCATCGACAGTTATTTTCTCACCATTAACTTTACGACGTTTACAATAGAAGTTTTGACTCAATAGTTGTCTGTTTTGATGACGTTTAATATAATTTATACACTCCAAAGTTACGAGAAACGGTAAAGTATTCATTAATATTATGCACTCCAAAATTACGAGAAACGTAACGTATCTATTTTATGACATAATCATAAATATACAACATAAATTTACAAAGTATAACTTCAAATGTGTAATATAACCGTACAAAAGTTAATCATGTGAAATTACAATATTCATGAAATGAGACCAGGGGCGGCCGAGCGACTTCCAAAGTGGGGGGGGGGCACCAAGAAAAAAGGGCACTTTCTGGGAAAAAAGGGCACCTACAAAGGGAAATCTCAAAGCGAAAATATACATTTTTTTAGAAATTGGTATATACCCATACATTGTGATTACAACAATCAGGGATGATTTCAGTATTTGTTTCACTTTATACACCATTGCTGAAGCATCATGCCTTGCAGTTGGGTTTGATTGTCTAAAAAAAAAAATTGCGAGGGAGCGAAGTGAGCGAGGAAAAATGTTAAGATGTGTGAGGTCGCAGTGCGAAAAATTCTATCTTATAAAGAGGAAAAACAAATCCTGGTGGGGTTATTACAGGTATTATAAGCACATTCTCATAACGGAAGACTGAAAAGAACTTTGATAAGTAACATAATAATATCAGCTATAGATGAGTGCGAGCGTAGCGAGCGAGCTTTGGGGGAAATTGCTCCTAGTCGCTTGAAATTAGCTAGGGCGCGTTTAATGATGAGAGAAAAGGGGGACACTTATCAGGAAAGAAAAGGAGCATGTGCCAAAGTACAAAGAGTAATTATCAGAGGTGAAAATGGGGCACTTAGTTCTTACATTCTCTAAAAGAGGCACTCACCAGGGATGAAACAAGTCAGTCATGAGAAAAAAGAAATGTGCATTTGTCGACGGAAAAGGATATTGATAGGCGCATTTATAAGATTATTATTTATATTGTTAAAAGGGAAATTATCAGAGGTGAATTGAGGCACTTATCGCACCTAAAAAGGGGCAATGACCAGATATAAAAAGTGGCACTTAGGGGAATGAAAAAGGGGCACTTGTAATAGAGGAAAATGTGCATTAGTTAAAAGAAAATGGGCATCGATCAGATTTTAAAGGGGCATTTATCTGAGGTGAAGGGGGCACTTATCTGAAGTGAAAGGAGTAACTTCTCGGACCTGAAATGGGTCAATTACCAGAGAAGGGGCACTTATGAGAAGGGGAAGGGGCACTTTTTTAACGGGGCACTTTTCATTAGGAAAAAAGGGGCACTTATTAGAAAGGGAAAAGGGCACATGTGAAAATATAAGGTGCGCTTATCCGAGTTAAAATGGGGGAAGTTATTCAAAGGGGAACTTCTTACAAAGAAAAAGGGGCACTTGTCAAAGTAAAAGAGGCACGTACCTCTCAGATTTAAATAGGACAATTATCAGAGGTGAAGGGGGCACTTATCAAAAGTGAAAAGAGGCACTTCTCGTACCTAACTAGGGACACTTACTAGAGATTAAAAAGGGCACCTATGAGAATGGAAAATGGGAACTTGTCGAAGGAAAAGGGGCACGTGTCCAAACAAGGGGCACTTATCAGAGTTGAAAAGGGGAAGGGGCACTTTTACAAATTAATAGGGGCCCATGTCAAAGTAAAAAGGGGCACTTTTCGGGTGCTTGAAAAAGTGGGGGCACTGTTCCCCCCTGCCCCCCCCCCCCCCGGGAGGGCCGCCTCTGATCAAGAGAAACCCCCTTAAGAAAGTTGAACGGAATTTTTTATCAAAAGCCATAAGGATCGTATCTAGGTCATCCAATATCATACGTTTTATCATACACGAAACAATGCATTTTCGTTTCGTGAGCATCTCGATGGGCATGATCCATGCCATAGCCAACCATGGAACTAGTAGATGGTTTCATTATACCCCCCATTAAGAATTAAACCTATTGTCTTTCTCTACAAAATAACTTACGGAAAAGCACTGAACATGTCGATGCTATAGTAATCTGATAAAAGGGATCAATAATTGTAATATCCATGTAGATATTCCTCATGGGTAATACATCCTTTCATGGGAATAGCGACATCGCTACGAGCCTACGACAGTATACGCAAAGCATAGATTTGGTACACTGCCGTTTTTGTTTTATCCCAATTTTTCGTCTTGTCGACACTCAAATTCATACTGAACACCGAATGTTTTTGCTCCTGGTCGGATTATTTTGACGCTTTTTAGGTGGTCTGTCAACGACAGATCACCTATTGTTTTCGTCAGAATTTTCTTTCTTTATTTATTTATTAGGTGGTCTGTCAACGACAGATCACCTATTGTTTTCGTCAGAATTTTCTTTCTTTATTTATTTATTTATTTATTATTTATTTTTATTTCTCCCCGTTTTTTGTTCATCGGTTAACTCAAGATCGGTTGTGTTAATTTCTTTCAATTTTGACACAGTCATAGGTCATTGTCATGAGACGTGACAGTAACCTTTTCAAGGTCATCAGGTCATCGTGACGTCATCCAGGCGCCATTTTGTGAAATCACGTTATCCATCATATCTTCATGATGCCTAAACAAAGGTCATTCATATTCATATCACATATATTTCAGGTCAAGGGTCAACAAGTCATGTCATCAAAGGTCACATAAAGGTCATGACGCGCACGTACGCGCGCGTCAAATTTTTAAAATGCTCAAAATTACTTAACTATTAAAGGAGAGTACGAATCAGGTCATTTTAAGCATTTCAAAATTTTCCGTCCGTAAGTGTCACCGCGCGCGTTGCGCGCGCTCATAACGCGCGGAAAAGGTCAAATTTAAATTGTTTACATGATTTAGATTCCTCTTACCGTAAATGACAATTTACATTAATTTCAGTCACTCTTGACCTTTCATAAGGCCGTGAGCGCGCGTCAAAGTTAAAAATCTGCGCGTGCTGCTATGGGCAATATAATGCAAATTTGATCAAAAACATCCCATTTTAAAAATCAAAATAGCTCTTCAGATAGTGAATTGACCCCAATTTTTATATCATGGTTGGAAATAGCATGAGTTGGAGATATGATTTCATGTGTCATTTGACCCTCAATTAACTCATGACGTCATCATAATGGCCTCCCAACTCAAAATTTCAATTTGCATATTATGACGTCAGCATATTTCTGGAAAATTGATTGTATCTCTGTAAATATTGATCGATTTTCTTCCAAATTTTGATATGATTTAACTGAGACAATTCTCTACAAATGTAGTTCCCACAATTTTTCATTTTGACAAAGGTATCATGGCGTATTTTTGTGATTAAAGGTGGCATGTCAATTTTTCACATTTTGCGTGTATTCTCTATGGGACATGACTTTTTCTCAAAACTGGATTCTACATCCTGTCTTTTGTGAGCAATATCTCCGTCGTTTTAGCTTTGTTTTCGCTGAGCTTCGAGTATGTTGTAGCAGAGACAATAAGCTATCACAAGTGTGCCCTTTATTTTTCGATCAGATGCCGGGATCATGCTCATATCTCACTTGCAAAGTGGGATTTGATCATTCCATTTTCCGTTTACGTGTAATCTCTATGGGAAATGTTTTGGTATATCGGTAACGCACTTGACTTCCGACCTCGAGGTCCCTGGTTCGAGTCCGGGGGTCTCCAACAAATTTTTTTTTCACTTTTTTTTTCTTTTTGACCTTTTACTGTACCATCTCCTTTAAATATTAAAACACGTACAATCGCAAATAATGTAATAGACAATCATATTTACTTTATTATTACCCTATTATCACTTGATCCATTACTTTTTGCATGTAATCCTTATGGGAGATGACTTTTTCTCAAATCTGGATTCTACATTCTTGTCTTTTGCGAGCAATATCGCCATTATTTCGGCTTGATTTTTGTTGATTTTTGAGTATGTTGTAGCTGAGACTATACGCTATCTCAATGTCCCCTCATTTTTTAATCAGATGTCTTCATGGTCTGTTGATGATCATCAACATCACCATGATCATCATCATCGTCATCACCATTACTATCAAGATCATCATCATGATCATCATTCTTTACATGTCTATATAACTTCTCCCTTTTTCAATATAGTAAATATTGAATTAAAGATGAGCATGAACATAGGAATTAAAGACAGACCACCTAATTCGTCCCCATGACGAATTAAATTTCTAGTTAGGTGGTCTGTCAACGACAGATCACCTATTGTTTTCGTCAGAATTTTCTTTCTTTATTTATTTATTTATTTATTATTTATTTTTATTTCTCCCCGTTTTTTGTTCATCGGTTAACTCAAGATCGGTTGTGTTAATTTCTTTCAATTTTGACACAGTCATAGGTCATTGTCATGAGACGTGACAGTAACCTTTTCAAGGTCATCAGGTCATCGTGACGTCATCCAGGCGCCATTTTGTGAAATCACGTTATCCATCATATCTTCATGATGCCTAAACAAAGGTCATTCATATTCATATCACATATATTTCAGGTCAAGGGTCAACAAGTCATGTCATCAAAGGTCACATAA